CTAAAGGACCCCGGGAGCAGCTAAACAAGACGCAACCGCGGTCTGTGCCCCCCTTTTACAACCACTCGTTGTTATTATTTTCGTTGGTTTATTTTTTTGTGACACTTGGAATATTTTATAACAAAAACTTGACCCGCTTTTCTCGGGAGAAGGAAATCCGCATTTCCTGTCCCTTACATCGCCACACACACCTGCTCATCACCGACGGCTGACTTATTGTTTTATTTTTTGTATTTTCGGTTGTTTTATCATTGTTCCCGCCCGTCACTCACTCACACATACTCGCATACTGTTTTTTTCGCCTTTTTCCCATCGCTTTAATCCCGGTTTTTATTTCCCAACTTCTTTTCTCAGCTGCGCAGCATCGCTTAATTAAAATTAACATTTCATGAAGTACTGGTTGGCACCAAAAAAAAAAACCGAAAAAAAAGTCAAGGGGGGTGCAAAATGTCGCTTTTCGAAAACGCGAAATAAAATAAAAAGTTTGCTTAATCGTTTTATAAATATTTAAGGCTTATAGCGGTCTGATCTGTCTAACGGTTTTGGTCCCCAAGCTGACTTTCAATTTCAATGCGATTTCGCTGTTGCTTTTGTGTCACCTTTTCTGCTTTTTAATGACCTCGGATAAGCTGGTAATTATGTTTGAATGGTTTATTCATTTCACATTTGCACGAAGGGCGTTTACTGTAAAAATACTTTTAATGGTAAGAGACATCATTAAAATATTTTTTTACAAGAGAAAGTAAAGGAACTTTATCCTGATTTAATTGTAACTCCTTTCAAACTTAACAGTTGACATTTTATTTTCTACATTTTAGCTTTAACAAATTATACGAGTATATGCAAACCATAACCATTGAATGGTTAAAACAAACAATCTTTAATGTGCAGCCTTTATGATAAACATTTCTTTTTATTTAGGATGTTTTAATGAAATAATCCGTTACTAATTGCCAGCCTTTAACAGGTTTTACATTTTTAACAAGCTTTTAATTACTTTCAGCGTTATTTATGAAAGGACCCCTTAAAAATTAATTGTCAGTCCGAAACATCAGTTAAAACAAAGTGGGCCGTATATGGATATTAGCACATGTGCCCACACATCACGTGTGTATAAATTCTTGTTTATTTTTTTTTGTCGTTTCATTTCGGTGACATTCGTAATTGAATGCATTATTCAATGGTCGCCAAGGGAGTATTTTTTCGTACCTTTTTTTATAGCACTTTAACACTTTGATGGCCGGTGGGCGCCAGAGGGCTTAAAGCAGTTGGGTCCGTCGATGTAAATGTCTTGGCATATTTTATGAGGACAGTTGGTTGTTGGTTCGCAACTTTTTGCTTTTGCCAAAAGAGAACTTTCGTTGCCGGCCGCCGTCACTGCATTTAGCATTACATCTGGTCAGAGGAGAAACTTTTCTTTTGGGGGTAGTGGGCGATCAGATCACTTAAGGGGGTTTTTCGGAGTGGGGGAATATCGTGTTGAAGATGATTTGTTCGCAGCCTTACATGTTTGGATTAGTTGGCAAGCACACACGTACATATACGCACACACACACGAGCGCACCACATGAGCAAACAAGTGGGAAAGTTTTCGCGGAAAAAGTTTTCCCACCAAGGTGTGTGCACTTTGTCAGAAATGCGAAAACACGCCGGAAACGCGGTCCCTAGACCCAAAACACCGAGGCGATAAGACAAATAAATAAGCGACAAGTTAGAGGACCGTTTACCGTTATTTCTTCGACCGCTGAGCAACCGCACGCGCGCATCGCTAAATTTGAACTGAACCGGAGCGCCAAACTGAAAAGCAAAGTCAAAGCAAAAAAATGGGAGCAAAGCAAAAAGGAAAACATGCGGCGTGGGCGAAGAAGACGGCCCTTATCAAAATCAGCTGTTCGAAAGTTCAGTTTAACAGTTAGCTTTTAGGCGCCAAAGCTCTGTAGACAATCGGGCGTGACAAAATAGGGATACTTCTGCCAAGTAATTTATTACTATTCGTTCTTCCTTTATTTGAAAAAAAATCTGCATACCTTACGGCTCTATTTTTGAAGCAAATATACATATGGTTTTTTTATTGGGATTCCCACAATCAAAAAAGGATTTTATATCATTCATAGTTTGAATGGTTAAGAAATTGGGATTATGATTTTAAATATGTATAAAATAAATTTAAAAATTAATTTTCTTCTACGTGTGTGTTTCTTTGAATAATGGTATAGTTCTCTGGAACTATGTACATTGAGCTACAATTTTGGGAATGAAAAGAAAAATATAGTTATGAATAAGTAGATTCAAAACCTTGCGATGCCTTTTGAAATGGTTCTCCTGAATAACGGGTATCTAATAGTCGAGAGGCTCGACTATGGGGTTTCCTTTTCTTTTTTATTGTTACTTTACCTTTTTTCCGACAGATGGCGCGCGGACAAGGCGCGAAAAATTCAAAAACTCGAAATTATCAGTCTATCGCTATTCAGACCCGGTTCGCTCTAGGTTTTCATCCGTCTAATCTCTCTCTTTCTGTTTACCTAATTATCACTCTCCCTATGCACATGCTTGTAGCCTCTACCCCTCTTTCTCTTCCGCACCAATCATCGTCCCTCCCTTCAACAAATTCCACTTTGTAATCAACAAAACACCATGGAAATGATAAGAAGCGACAAATGGAAAAATACCACAAAATGTTGACACGTTTTGCGCCTTTATTTTACTTCTTACTACTTCTTTACCAAATACAAAAACTGTACTTGTAGCTAACTTTATTTACTGGTAAAAATGCATTTTTAAATTCTGGTACTTCAATTTGCTCCATAGAAGATTCTTGCCAGTGGATTGCCATTTTGTTTCTGAGTAAGCGATCTCCCAATCTGACTTTTTAAACCCACGTTATGCATCCGTGTAAGCCACTGAGAGAAAATCTGCACTAGTGTGTGAATTTCCAATAGACCCACCGACACAGTCACACAAATTCGTGTGCTCTTCTCTCCCAGTTGGAGGCTCGTTTTGTATACGTGAACGGGAGAGTCGAGTGATCTGCGTTAGTGTGCGAGGCACTCACAAATACCATCACACTGTGCGCCGCTCTCTCGTTCTCGCTGTTTGTCTTTTGGTGTGATTATAGTCTTGCTTGTATTGGTTTTTTTAAACCTATCACAAATACTATTAAACAATTGAATGCTCTCTGACTCTCTGTTTTTGTTTGGGGCCGGTAAAGTTGGATCAGCTGATGGTCAGCTGTTTTGAGAGACAAATCCTGAAGGGATTCGCAATATTTGGCTTATTTATTGTGTTTAAACGAAAGATAAAACAGACAGAACTGTACTTCTCTATTAATTTGTTTCTAGAAGCATTTCGTTAGAAAGTCCGAAGTTCCATGAGACCTCAATTAGGTTCTATATGAACACCACGTCTCAAATATGTGTTTAGGTCTCGCACGTGGTTTCCTCTTCTCCTTTCTGACCCCCTTTGCCTAATGCTCAAAACTACTTAATAATCTGCACCCTACCCCACTACTAAATGTATACAAACATTTGTGATAAGGCATCCTCTGTCTCTATCGCGCTCACAGATCGGATTGTACCAGTTTGGTATAAAAACCAGCTGGCTGGCCAGTCAGTATTCAGTGAGCTACAAGTAAGCCAGCCAGCAACAACTACCAGCTTAACAGCTAAAGTTCCATCCAAGTAAACCAAGATGCGTTTGGGACAGACCGTACCTAACTTCAAGGCCGACACCACCAAGGGACCCATCAAGTTCCACGAGTGGCAGGGCAACTCGTAAGTGCTACCTATTACCCCACACTCCCTATCCCGTACTCATCCAATACTTCCAACCTTCAGCTGGGTGGTGCTCTTCTCGCACCCCGCCGACTTCACACCCGTCTGCACAACCGAACTGGGCAGGATCGCGGTGCACCAGCCGGAGTTCGCCAAGCGGAACACCAAGTGCCTGGCGCACTCCGTGGACGCCCTCAACTCGCACGTGGACTGGGTGAACGACATCAAGAGCTACTGCCTGGACATTCCCGGCGACTTCCCCTACCCGATCATCGCCGACCCCACTCGGGACCTGGCCGTCAGCCTGGGCATGCTCGACGAGGAGCAGAAGAAGGACCCCGAGGTGGGCAAGACCATCCGCGCCCTCTTCATCATCAGTCCGGACCACAAGGTGCGCCTCTCCATGTTCTACCCCATGTCCACCGGTCGCAACGTTGAGTGAGTACCTCCTTTGTGTTATCGGCGATCCTTACACATGATCCATACATTTTTCAGTGAGATTCTGAGGGCCATCGACTCCCTTCAACTTACTGATCGTCTGCAGGTTGTGGCCACCCCGGCCAATTGGACTGTATGTAATTTACCTCTTTAAACCGAAGTGAATTCGAATTCATTTTGAATCCTTTACAGCCTGGAACGAAGGTCATGATCTTGCCTTCCGTCAGCGATGAGGAGGCCCACAAACTGTTCCCCAAGGGATTCGACAAGGTATCGATGCCTTCTGGAGTGAACTACGTGCGCACCACTGAAAACTACTAAACACTTGAACTAGATACATAAGTTCTTTTGACAATTGTCCCGACAATGTCCCCGTTTCTTCTTGTGCCATAATTTAATAGATAATACCAATGAAATAAACATTATTTCTAACCAATCTGCTAAAAAAAAATGTTTTTTAATATGTTGTTTTCACTTCTGCATGAGTCTCCCTCCTTTTAGTTTAATATGGTTTAAACGCTTCTTTTCAAAACTCTTTTGGTAGCAATCGACAGGTTTAAATATTGGCAATGCTTTCCAGCATTGGTTACAACTTTAATCTAATCTTAATCGCCCTGTATTAATTTATTCATTTTAAATGGTAAATAGATATCCCAGTTAAAAAGGGCTGATTTAAATAAAAAACTTTGAGGTAAATAGTTAAGGAAGAAAAATTTAATAAGTATCCAAAAATTTTTATAAAGCTTATTTAAATTATAATATTAGAAGTCTCTTATTGCCCACAAACAAATATTTGATAAGAACTTTGTATTTATTCAGTTGTAATTATTCAAATGGTGTAGACTTTTATTTTTGTTTATATACAAAAGATAGGTATTTCAAATGATTGTTTTTAAATTTTTTGGTTCGGAAAACGAGTATAGGTGGTATTTTTTATATAAAAAACATTCTTTATTGTATAAAGCAATGATTTGATGGCACAATATAAATGAGACCAAGGTAAAATATGTATAAAACTAGGCGGCTAATACTAAAAGGCAGTGCGCTGGTAGTTCATTCCCAAAACGAGAATTTTTCAACATCTAGAGTTTGGTTGATGACGGCGGGCTGGAACATCACAATTAAGTAAATCTGTTTTAAGAAAATAATCAGTTTTGATGCATATAATACTGACAAGAAAAAAACTTACAGTCCTTTTTTTATACACAAATTTCGTGTTCTTTAGTCGTAATTTTTGATATCGTCCTTTGAATTTTCGTGCAACAGATACTCCTTGGCCATTGTGTAAGCTAACCCGGCAGTCAAACAGCCTACCACAGTTCCCTGGGCGGCCACTCGCAACTGCATCAGAAACACGCTGGTGCTCATCGATCCTCGGTTCCGGTATTTGTAGGCTCCAACCAGCCCGGCGGCCACGAATCCGGCAATCCCCACCAGCATGAAGGGGGATTCCTTCATTTTTCGGGACAACTTGTTGGCCTGGGCGACATCTTCTTCGGTTTCAAACAGCGAATTGGAACTCATCTTGACGCAGATTAACTATTTTATTAAATTTCTGAGTGTTTTGGTTGTTGTTAGTTTGCTAACTTGTTGCTTACTGATTACCAAGTGAGAGAGACAGCTGCCTTTTATACCCATCTGGTTCGAGACGATCGGTGAGAGCGATATACATATACATATGTATGTAGGTCGCCATTATCGTCAGTGCGTTCACTCATATTTATATATACACATCATACATACATATATACACAGGGTGTAACCGGCTAGAACCGCGCAAGGCCTACGTGACTGAATTTTTATATGTATGTTTTAATGTTTGGCCACGTGCTTTGCTTTGGACTTTGTCATGAAATGATCACATGAATTCTCCTTCAAAAAGTACAGTTTTTGTTATTAAGTGGGTTCCTTTTATCCTTGTTTAATAAACCTGACCTAGCATATCATTATAGAAGTTGTCCCCAAACAGCTGTTCCACCAGCTGATTCCCCTTCTGAGAGCACTAATTTATTAATTGGTGTTGGTGATCGCTGGGGAATTACAAACACAAGTGTAGCTCTCCCTCACACCGATAGTCGAACAGTGAGCGCGAGAGAGCAGCGCACTGTGTGGTGGTATTTGTGAGAACACCTGTGAAACACGCATACTACCAAAGATCGGTCGGCTCTCCCGTTTACGTATACAAGACGAGCCCCCAATTGGCAAAAGAGCAACTAAATTTGTGTCACTGTGTGGGTTAATCTATAGGAAATTCGAACACTAGTGCGGACTTTTTTCTCAGTAGCTCCCACGGATAGATGGACAGAACATTTGCTCAGAAGCCAAATGGAAAGCATCAGGAAAGGAACCCAACTTTAAAAGAAATAATTGGAGTACAGTGTTTTTCATAATGAAGTCCAACGCTAAAAATATCAGTTTATTATACACATTTTCTGGTACTTTTCCATCGGTCTCGAGGTTGTTTGTCAATAACAAAGTGGATTTTGTAGCCGAGCGAGATAGAAGATAGTTTTGTCGGAGAGCAGAGAAAGAGGGAGAGGCCACGTGCATGTGACTGATACATATATATATGGGTGATTCCATATCAGATTTACAGTCGATATTGAGAAATTCGATGAGATATTTTTTTCTTGCTCTTTATCGAAAATAAATCGACACGTATTTTTTTATTTGGCTCAGAAAATTTTTTTGACAAAGTTATGATTTTTTTGAATTTTGGATGAACTGCCCTTTTTTTGATGACAGTCGCGTTTTCCAGCCCCAATAACTCGAAAACCGTACGTCGCAGAAAAAAAATGAATAGGAAGTAAAAATTTCATCCTTTCTTCTTCTTTGCAAAACTTTCGTGAAAAAATTTTTTAAACAATTTTTCACCACAAAAAGTTCAAATGTTTATAACAAATTCATTTTTCTCCAACTTGGACCATTTTGATTTTTTTTTTTTTTCACAGTAAATCCTTCAAATTCTTCTAATGAACATACTAAAGTTTCAGAATGGTATCAAAATTAGTTTTTGAGTTACAGAATTTTAAAGATTATCATGCACGGTCCGCGCGCTCGGTCTCAGGGCGTGCGCCGACCAACGACTCTAACGAGCGTCAATTCGCTTCGCGCGCGCATAGTAAGGGTCAATAAAATGAATTTTTAATGCTATTTAATTCTATAACTCAAAAACTAATTTTGATACCATTCTGAAACTTTAGTATGTTCATTAGAAGAATTTGAAGGATTTACTGTGAAAAAAAAAAAAAATCAAAATGGTCCAAGTTGGAGAAAAATGAATTTGTTATAAACATTTGAACTTTTTGTGGTGAAAAATTGTTTAAAAAATTTTTTCACGAAAGTTTTGCAAAGAAGAAGAAAGGATGAAATTTTTACTTCCTATTCATTTTTTTTCTGCGACGTACGGTTTTCGAGTTATTGGGGCTGGAAAACGCGACTGTCATCAAAAAAAGGGCAGTTCATCAAAAATTCAAAAAATCATAACTTTGTCAAAAAAATTTTCTGAGCCAAATAAAAAAATACGTGTCGATTTATTTTCGATAAAGAGCAAGAAAAAAAATATCTCATCGAATTTCTCAATATCGACTGTAAATCTGATATGGAATCACCCATATAATACTTAATAGATTGAACATAAACAGAGAGGGGAAGCGAGGAGAGTCGGAGTCGAGAGCGAACCGGGTTAAATCAGCGATAGCGCATCTAGAACTCATTTGAATGGGGCAATGTTATCGGTATCGGCCGAGAGTTGGCTATATATTCGGCTGCCGTTGCACAGTGGTCGGTCCCATAGGCCAAAAATCAAAAAATCAATTTTGGAATTTTAATTTCAAGTTTGGCGCATCTGTTTATCAATAAAACAAGGCTTTAAAAGCAAGTATTAGTTTTGTCTTGCTCCACATATTTGCGGAGAAATTGGGGTGCAAAGTGAGCGCACAAACCCAGCGATCAACTGAAAGCGTGCGCATGTCTTTTGAAAGCGTTAAGTTAATAATTAAAAAAAAATATAAAACAATCGTTTAATATCCGAAAGTGAAATGAATATTAAAGTTGAAGGTTTGTAGATTGTGTTTTTCTAATTTTTATGAATTTTACATGCTATATGTGACTGTGACAATAATTGTTTATCCACCTCAATTTTACAAGTTCTGCAGAACTAAACATCAATATTCTGCAAAGGTAAAAGTTGTGTTCCCAAAACTTCTCAATAATGAAATTTTTTTTAAAATGTTAATCGATATTTAATTAGTATTATCTGTGAAAATCATCTGCGAATAGCTGCGAATCCGTTCAGAATCTGTTAAAGAAGACGAGTACCTCGTTCCTTTTTCATCAGTTTTTGATTTTCTAGAGTAACCATTTCTAATATATATTGAAAAATTTATTTTTTATTACTTTTATTTTACTATAAATTTATGTTAATCATCGTTTTTTGTTATCTTTTGTTAATTTTTTAACCAAAATTAAGTGTTTAACAAATATAATTTTTGTCAGTTACGCTTAAAAAAAAGTGTAGTATGCATTTGGGAGTCAAATTTTGAACATTTTATGGTAAACACAATGGTAGCGGATATATTTGGCTTTAATGGTGCTGATACTTAAAATATAACATTCATACGCTATTATATACCTACAAAAAAAATTTCAACTCGATATTCCTACTGGAAGTATTTTTGGCCGCCTTCTCCATACAAGACCGACCACTGTGCGTTGTTGCTTTTCAGTTAAAATTAAGAAGCACGCAAAGCACATTCGTTCCATTACCATAAACAGAGCTACAATGGCAAAGCTTGTAAACGAGATCTGAACGAGAAACGATAAGCGACAGGGAATGGAAATTTACCACAAAATGTGTACATGGAACCAAGCGTTTCTACGTCTCAGCATTCACTTTGAAACTAACAAAAATTTGAAGACTGTACTTGTAACACATGTAATCTGTATGGTAGCAGAGTTTTTCTTTCTTCCAACGACTTTTTCACATTCACAACACGTATTCTTATGATCTGATATTCCGTATTTTGATCTCATTTCAAATTGGGCTCCTTTCCTGTGGGCTGTCATCTGGTTTCTGAGTGAGCACTCTGCCCATCCGCCAGCAAAAGCCCACTGGATCCATTCGTGTGAGCTACTGAGAGGAAATCTGCACTAGTGTGTGAATTTCCAATAGACCCACCTACACAGTCACACAAATTCGTGTGCTCTTCTCTCCCAGTTGGAGGCTCGCTTTGTATACGTGAACGGGAGAGCCGAGTGATCTTTGTTAGTGTGCGTGTTTTTAGAAGCACTCACAAATACCATCACACGGTGCGCCGCTCTCTCGTTCTCGCTGTTTGTCTATCGGTGTGACTTTAGTCTTGCTTGTGTTGGTTATTTTCAACTCATCACAAACACTTTTAAATAGTTGAATGCTCTCTGGTTCTCTGTTTGTGTTTGGAGCCGGTAAAGTTGGATCAGCTGGGAGTCAGCTGTTTTGGGAAACAAGTCCTAAAAGCATCCTCAATTGTTTCCAATTTACAGTTTACTAATAAGCGACAAAATAAGCTGAACTGTACTTTTCTATAACAAAATTTCTAGTAGCATTTAGCTACAAAGTCCAAATTTGGGTGAGGCCCCAGTCCGGTTTTATATGGGCCTCTAGTACGTCTCATACAAATGTGGAGGCCTTCGCGAAGTTTCCTCTACCCCCTTTGGTCCCCTTCTCCTGCTCAGAACCACTTTATAATCTGTCCCCAACCTTGCATTCTATATTCATATGTAGCACCGTATGTACAAGCAGACGCGATAAGGCAGCGCCCATATATCTATATCTCTATCGCTCTCACAGATCGTTGCGAACCAGTTGGGTATAAAAGGCAGCCAGCTCACCAGTCAGTATTCAGTGAGCAAAAAGTGAACCAGCCGGCAACAGCTACCAGCTAACAGTTAACAGTTAAAGTGTTACCTAACCAAATAAAGTTTTACCTAAGCAAAGCAATAAAATCATAGCAAGATGCGTTTGGGACAGACCGTACCTAACTTCCAGGCCGACACCACCAAGGGTCCCATCAAGTTCCACGAGTGGCAGGGCGATTCGTAAGTAGCATCTCACCATCTCGCCATTTTGTATTTTCTCAACTCATCCGATACATCTAATCTCCAGCTGGGTGGTGCTCTTCTCGCACCCCGCCGACTTCACACCCGTCTGCACAACCGAACTGGGCAGGATCGCGGTGCACCAGCCGGAGTTCGCCAAGCGGAACACCAAGTGCCTGGCGCACTCCGTGGACGCCCTCAACTCGCACGTGGACTGGGTGAACGACATCAAGAGCTACTGCCTGGACATTCCCGGCGACTTCCCCTACCCGATCATCGCCGACCCCACTCGGGACCTGGCCGTCAGCCTGGGCATGCTCGACGAGGAGCAGAAGAAGGACCCCGAGGTGGGCAAGACCATCCGCGCCCTCTTCATCATCAGTCCGGACCACAAGGTGCGCCTCTCCATGTTCTACCCCATGTCCACCGGTCGCAACGTTGAGTGAGTACCTCCTTCGTACTCTTGGTGATCCTTACTCATGATCCTTAAATTTAACAGTGAGATCCTGAGGACCATCGACTCCCTGCAGCTGACTGATCGCCTCCAGGTTGTGGCCACTCCTGCCAATTGGACTGTAAGTAATTCTACTTTTTGAACCCAAGTTAGGCCTTACTAATTATTATTTTTATTAGCCTGGCACCAAGGTCATGATCCTGCCTTCGGTCACCGATGAGGAGGCCCACAGACTGTTCCCCAAGGGATTCGACAAGGTATCGATGCCTTCTGGAGTGAACTACGTGCGCACAACTGAGAACTACTGAGCACCTGAAGCTTTTTACAGACATATGTCAACAATTATTACCCCCTTAGTGCCATATTATACAATTGTACAATAAAGATTATTTTAAACTAACAATCGCCGTATACATTCTAAAGTAAGCTTACAATGAATTGACAAATGACTTTTTTATTTTGCTATGTTTTTAAATTTAAAGTCTACTCAGGCACTGCCTACCTTTCAAGAATTTAAATGACAATAATGACTAAGTAAATGCACTTGGCAACAATGGACCGCCAAGTGCATTTAAATCTTTAACAAAACTGAATTAAGAAATTATTTTAATTTAATTTAAATAGTTTGCTAATTGTGTAGCTACATAAAATTATATTATATAGTCTTAGTTATGAGTGTAAATCAAAGAGGACTTATCAACTAACTTGTTTGTTTTTATTTTCCGAAATAATATGTGTTTTTCATAGAAGTCTAAAAAATTTAAAATATTTAAAAAAACAAGAAAGGTAGCTAGCTTTGGCAAGCCGAAGCTTATAAACCCTTGCAGTCATAAAAATGTCGAAGCTATGACGATTTTTCTATTAATTTTCATTATACATATATATATATATATATATATATATATGGTCTATATAGTCGTCCGATCTTGATGAAAATTATTTCGTTATTCAAGAGTCGTTAGAAAACTCTATATTCCTTCACTGCGTTGCAAACTTCTGACTGACATTATAATACCCTTTGCTCTGCAAGGGTATAATAATAGAATAAGGGTTATTTTCAAATCTAGTTCTTTAGAGAAAAATATTTAGGAAAATTGGTTCAAACAAATAAAGGAGGCTTTTATTTTTTGAAAAATATCGTTTATAGTACTTTATTTGAAACCTATTTCGAATGAGGACTTTGTTCGTCCAAGTTCTTTATTCTATGTACTTTGAAGCCAAAATTACTCCTTATATTCCATATTACCAAACTTGTAAATACCTTTTAGAAAACTAAATTATAAGAATATTTTATTCTAACAATAATATAACATCTTTAACAATTGTTTAATTGCTTAGCAATTACAAAAGAGGGCTCTGAAATAAAACTAACAATAAAACATTGACCGTTGATAAGTAAAAAACGCAAAGAGTCTTAGTAAAATTATCTTTATTGGTAAATAAGAAAAATGTTGTAATTTAGTGCGTGATAGTGATGTAAATGCTGATGAGTTGATGATAATCTTTTGCTAATAGTTCTCAGTAGTGCGCACGTAGTTCACTCCAGAAGGCATCGATACCTTGTCGAATCCCTTGGGGAACAGTCTGTGGGCCTCCTCATCGGTGACCGAAGGCAGGATCATGACCTTGGTGCCAGGCTAACAGAAAATAATAATTAGTAAGGCCTAACTTGGGTTCAAAAAGTAGAATTACTTACAGTCCAATTGGCTGGAGTGGCCACAACCTGGAGGCGATCAGTCAGCTGCAGGGAGTCGATGGTCCTCAGGATCTCACTGTTAAATAAAAGGATCATGAGTAAGGATTACCGAGAACCCAAAGGAGGTACTCACTCTACGTTGCGACCGGTGGACATGGGGTAGAACATGGAGAGGCGCACCTTGTGGTCCGGACTGATGATGAAGAGGGCGCGGATGGTCTTGCCCACCTCGGGGTCCTTCTTCTGCTCCTCGTCGAGCATGCCCAGGCTGACGGCCAGGTCCCGAGTGGGGTCGGCGATGATCGGGTAGGGGAAGTCGCCGGGAATGTCCAGGCAGTAGCTCTTGATGTCGTTCACCCAGTCCACGTGCGAGTTGAGGGCGTCCACGGAGTGCGCCAGGCACTTGGTGTTCCGCTTGGCGAACTCCGGCTGGTGCACCGCGATCCTGCCCAGTTCGGTTGTGCAGACGGGTGTGAAGTCGGCGGGGTGCGAGAAGAGCACCACCCAGCTGGAGATTAGATGTATCGGATGAGTTGAGAAAATACAAAATGGCGAGATGGTGAGATGCTACTTACGAATCGCCCTGCCACTCGTGGAACTTGATGGGACCCTTGGTGGTGTCGGCCTGGAAGTTAGGTACGGTCTGTCCCAAACGCATCTTGCTATGATTTTATTGCTTTGCTTAGGTAAAACTTTATTTGGTTAGGTAACACTTTAACTGTTAACTGTTAGCTGGTAGCTGGTAGCTGTTGCTGGCTGGTTCACTTTTTGCTCACTGAATACTGACTGGTGAGCTGGCTGCCTTTTATACCCAACTGGTTCGCAACGATCTGTGAGAGCGATAGAGATATAGATATATGGGCGCTGCCTTATCGCGTCTGCTTGTACATACGGTGCTACATATGAATATAGAATGCAAGGTTGGGGACAGATTATAAAGTGGTTCTGAGCAGGAGAAGGGGACCAAAGGGGGTAGAGGAAACTTCGCGAAGGCCTCCACATTTGTATGAGACGTACTAGAGGCCCATATAAAACCGGACTGGGGCCTCACCCAAATTTGGACTTTGTAGCTAAATGCTACTAGAAATTTTGTTATAGAAAAGTACAGTTCAGCTTATTTTGTCGCTTATTAGTAAACTGTAAATTGGAAACAATTGAGGATGCTTTTAGGACTTGTTTCCCAAAACAGCTGACTCCCAGCTGATCCAACTTTACCGGCTCCAAACACAAACAGAGAACCAGAGAGCATTCAACTATTTAAAAGTGTTTGTGATGAGTTGAAAATAACCAACACAAGCAAGACTAAAGTCACACCGATAGACAAACAGCGAGAACGAGAGAGCGGCGCACCGTGTGATGGTATTTGTGAGTGCTTCTAAAAACACGCACACTAACAAAGATCACTCGGCTCTCCCGTTCACGTATACAAAGCGAGCCTCCAACTGGGAGAGAAGAGCACACGAATTTGTGTGACTGTGTAGGTGGGTCTATTGGAAATTCACACACTAGTGCAGATTTCCTCTCAGTAGCTCACACGAATGGATCCAGTGGGCTTTTGCTGTCGGATGGGCAGAGTGCTCACTCAGAAACCAGATGACAGCCCACAGGAAAGGAGCCCAATTTGAAATCAGATCAACATATGGAATATAATATCATAAGAATACGTGATGTGAATATGAAAGAGTGGTTAGAAGAAAGAAAAACAGATTACATGTGTTACAAGTACAGTCTTCAAATTTTTGTTAGTTTCAAAGTGAATTCTGAGACGTAAAAACGCTTGGTTCCATGTACACATTTTGTGGTAAATTTCCATTCCCTGTCGCTTATCGTTTCTCCGGCTGTTTGTAAACAACAAATTTAGGTTTGTAGTCAGATTGTGTTGGTGTGTGAATAGGGGAGAGTGAGAAAGAGAGGAGAGAACCTTGTGCAACTAAACTGGTCGAGGGGAAAACGGTACGGGAGAGAGTGTAAATAGAGAGAGAATGAGAGAGATAGATAGAAAACATTAAGCGAACCGGGCCTGATCGAAGGGAAAAGTATCGATAGACAACATTGCAACTACAATCGGGCGTTAAAGTGCTTCTATCGGATTACCTAATCCTAAATATTTTTGTAAAATAAAAGTACAATGAAAATAAAATGCTTTCCAACAATTAATTTATTTTGCCTGATTCTTCCAAACTTAATAAAAATGATCACCACTGGAAGATATAAACCATTCGAACCAGGGATACATAACTATATTTCATTTAAAGCATTTAAAAGATACCAATGTCAGCAAACAAAAAATGAAGAGCAGTGAAATTTCATATTAAAATATTTATATTTTATTAAAGACCTTAATAACTAACATACACATACATATATGAACATGGGTAAGCCCCATCAGCGTACCAAAAAGTACGATACTAATTATCTACAACAAATTCGATTAGTTGGCGTCTTCTACTGGTTCAGTCTTCTTTTGGCCAGGATCTGCTAGATTCCGATCCCAGCGGAGAGGGTTCCAATGGCCCCCACTTGAAGGGTTGACATCTTTCCGCCCCATAAACAACCCCTGGGCAAAGTACTGATGGCGTGGACGAGATCGAGGGAAACCCGGGCCAGGGACATCACGTACTGGCGGTTCAGCGTTTCCCGGTTCAGCGAGAAGGTCCTTAGTGTCCTCACGAGGTTCAGCTGCACAGCGAGCACACAGAACATGGAGTTTATGTAGCTCCAGGCCTTCCTGTTTCCCACATCCAAAACCTTGTGTTCGGCCAGCCAGCAGATGGTTTCTATGGGATAGAAGTGCAGGTCCACAGCATTCGACATCACTCCCAGTACGGCCGTAATGCGATCCGGCTCGTCCTCACCCAATCCGTACTGCAGGGTGTACTGGAATACGGGGAGGTCCTCGAAGAGGCGGAAAGTGGCCCTGGCTCCTGATATTTTCGAACTGACTGTGGCGCATCGTTGGGACAGATCGGGATTCCGGTTGGCCTGGTATCCTGCCAGCAACTTGGCACTTTGGCACAGCGCCTCCATCAGGACATCTCGACCGCCATAGGAATCGATGAGACCGCAGATCTCGTTCATAAGCTTTGCCATTGTAGCTCTGTTTATGGTAATGGAACGAAAGTGCTTTGCGTGAAATACTTCTTAATCTAAACTGAAAAGCAACAACGGCAGCCGAATATATAGCCAACTCTCGGCCGATGTCGATAACATTGCCCCATTCAAATGAGTTCTAGATGCGCTATCGCTGATTTAACCCGGTTCGCTCTCGACTCCGACTCTCCTCGCTTCCTCTCTCTGTTTATGTTCAATCTATTAAGTATTATATATATTTATCAGTCACATGCACGTGGCCTCTCCCTCTTGCTCTGCTCTCCGACAAAACTATCTTCTATCTCGCTCGGCTACAAAATCCACTTTGTTATTGACAAACAACCTCGAGACCGATGGAAAAGTACCAGAATTGTGTACCATAAACTGATATTTTTAGCGTTGGACTTCATTATAGAAAACACTGTACGTGAATCAATTCTTTTCAATTTGGGTTCCTTTTCTGTTGCCGTCCATTTGGCTTCTGAGCGAATGTTCCGTCCATCTATCCGCGGGAGCCTCTGACAGAATATCTGCACTAGTGTCCGATTTTCCTATAGATTTACCCACACAGTGACACAAATTTAGTTGCTCTTTTGCCAATTGGGGGCTCGTCTTGTATACGTAAACGGGAGAGCCGACCGATCTTTGGTAGTATGCGTGTTTCACAGGTGTTCTCACAAATACCACCACACAGTGCGCTGCTCTCTCGCGCTCACTGTTCGACTATCGGTGTGAGGGAGAGCTACACTTGTGTTTGTAATTCCCCAGCGATCACCAACACCAATTAATAAATTAGTGCTCTCAGAAGGGGACTCAGCTGGTGGAACAGCTGTTTGGGGACAACTTCTATAATGATATGCTAGGTCAGGTTTATTAAACAAGGATAAAAGGAACCCACTTAATAACAAAAACTGTACTTTTTGAAGGAGAATTCATGTGATCATTTCATGACAAAGTCCAATGCAGCGCACGAGGCTAAACACATAAAAACATATAAAAATTCAGTCACGTAGGCCTTGTGCGGTTATAGCCGGCTATACCCAACGTATGTGCATATGTATGTACATACATATGAGTATACACCCTGACGATAATGGCGACCTATGTATTTAGCGCTCTCACCGATCGTCTCGAACCAGCTGGGTATAAAAGGCGGCGGTTTCTCCCACTCGGCAATCAGTTAGCAACAAGTTAGCCAACTAACAACAACCAAAACACTCAGAAATTTAACAAAGTAGTACTTAATCTGCGTCAAGATGAGTTCCAATTCCCTGTTCGAAACCGAAGAAGATTTCGCCCAGGCCAACAAGTTGTCTCGAAAAATGAAGGAATCCCCCTTTATGCTGGTGGGGATTGCCGGATTCGTGGCCGCCGGACTGGTTGGAGCCTACAAATACCGAAACCGAGGATCGATGAGCACCAGCGTCTTTCTGATGCAGTTGCGAGTGGCCGCCCAGGGAACTGTGGTAGGGTGTTTGACTGCAGGGTTGGCCTACACAATGGCCAAGGAGTACCTGCTCCACGAAGATCCCAAGGACGATACCAAGAAGGCCGATGAGGAGCATAAAACCACACCATTAGGTCGAAAGCAAAAGATAATGATTTGGTTGGACAGTAAGTATACCTGGAATATGTTTAAAACAAATAAATCCTAATTGTTTTTGCTTTTGGAACAGGTCAACGTTAGTTTTATGATCCTGCCCGCCGTTCCCGAAGAAAAAGAGCCGCAAGGAAGTCCCCATGAGGCTTTAAAAACTCTTCACTTTAGGATGAAGTACAAATGCACCGCCAAGAAGTATTAGCCACCCGATTCTATCTTCATTTCTCATTTTGTTTTAGTGTGTCATTAAAACGCAACTCCATGCAATAACGAATGTTAAATACCAAAGAACATACCTCGTCGCATTTCTTACAAAATATGTCTTTATATGTTACTTCTCTCTGGGATGTAAAGCAGATAATCGTAAACCAAATCATTGCGAAATAAAAATTTTGTAGATCAGCTTATGACTGTTAATTGTACATTATTAAAATTGTTTAAAACAAGAAAAGAAGCTAGCTTCAGAAAGCCGACTCTTATCAAACAAAATACATAAAGGCTACACAACAACGAAGCTAAGTCCAATTTTCTATTAAGTTTCTATATTTTCGACAATTGTTCATATGAAAGCTATATGGAATAGTCGTTCGATTTTTGTAAAATTTAATTCGAAATTCAAGATTCATTCGAAAACTCTATATTGCAAAAGTTATGCTTGTCCGTGTAATTATATAATTTGTATACCCTTGCAGAGGGTATTATAATTTCAGTTATATTTCAGGTTAGGAGACACCTAAAGTATTTTTGATCAGCATCACGATCTGAATTTTTGAGGCGAGTTTGATGAGCGCAAGGGTATATAAACTTTGTTTTATAGCTTTTAACTGCTAACCAAATTATATCATTTAGTTGGCTTACCTAACCTAAAGTGTTCAACAGATCCAGTAATTTGTTCTATAAGTATATACATTTATATGCACGACACCTGTATTAAAAATTACTATAAAAGCTTGTTTATGCAGTAACAGTATAATTAATTAGGGAAACTGAACGTTGTGGCAAAGCTGAAAAGTTGTAGGTCGTAAGTCGATCTTATGGAAAAAGTACTGTAATTATAGAAAATGATGGAGTGTTACTATGAAAATATTCGCTTCTCAAAACGAAAGAGTAAATAATTTTGCAACTATAGCACTGGATTTAATTAAGTAAATACTATACATACTCGTATAGGATCAAAAAATCAAGTTACAATTTCGGTTAAAATAATTTTTATTGCATAACACTATTTACTAATTTATGGCACAATACATATCCGTATAAAGAAAATGTTATTAAAAAATGTAAAAAGCTTCAGGTGTTCAGTAGTTCTCAGTGGTGCGCACGTAGTTCACTCCAGAAGGCATCGATACCTTGTCGAATCCCTTGGGGAACAGTCTGTGGGCCTCCTCATCGGTGACCGAAGGCAGGATCATGACCTTGGTGCCAGGCTAATAAAGAATATTAATAAGTAACGCTTAACTTGGGTTCAAACAGTAGAATTACTTACAGTCCAATTGGCAGGAGTGGCCACAACCTGGAGGCGATCAGTCAGCTGCAGGGAGTCGATGGTCCTCAGGATCTCACTGTTAAATGAAAGGATCGTGAGTAAGGATCATCAGGAACCCAAAGGAGGTACTCACTCTACGTTGCGACCGGTGGACATGGGGTAGAACATGGAGAGGCGCACCTTGTGGTCCGGACTGATGATGAAGAGGGCGCGGATGGTCTTGCCCACCTCGGGGTCCTTCTTCTGCTCCTCGTCGAGCATGCCCAGGCTGACGGCCAGGTCCCGAGTGGGGTCGGCGATGATCGGGTAGGGGAAGTCGCCGGGAATGTCCAGGCAGTAGCTCTTGATGTCGTTCACCCAGTCCACGTGCGAGTTGAGGGCGTCCACGGAGTGCGCCAGGCACTTGGTGTTCCGCTTGGCGAACTCCGGCTGGTGCACCGCGATCCTGCCCAGTTCGGTTGTGCAGACGGGTGTGAAGTCGGCGGGGTGCGAGAAGAGCACCACCCAGCTGGAGATTAGAGGTATCGGATGAGTTTGAAAAAAGCAAAATGGCGAGATGAAGATTAGAGGTATTGGATGAGTTGGACAAAAACAAAATGGCGAGATGGTGAAATGCTACTTACGAATCGCCCTGCCACTCGTGGAACTTGATGGGACCCTTGGTGGTGTCGGCCTGGAAGTTAGGTACGGTCTGTCCCAAACGCATCTTGGAAAGATTTTATTGCTTTGCTTAGGTAAAACTTTATTTGGTTAGGTAACACTTTAACTGTTAACTGTTAACTGTTAGCTGGAAGCTGGTAGCTGTTGCTGGCTGGTTCACTTTTTGCTCACTGAATACTGACTGGTGAGCTGGCTGCCTTTTATACCCAACTGGTTCGCAACGATCTGTGAGAGCGACAGAGACGGAGAGGGGCGCTGCCTTATCGCGCTTGCTTATACATATGTACATATGTACGTAAATAGAATGCAAGGTGTGAGCAGATTATTAAGTAGTTCTAAGCAATCAAAAAAGGGGGCTGCAAGGGAAAAGAGCGAGGTCTCCTTATTTGTTTGACAGCTGCCAGGGGCATACATATATAAAACCTGATTTTGGTCTCACCCCACATCGTTTTTTCTGACGAAATGCTTCTAGAAATATATTTATACACAAGTACAGTTCTGCTGATATGCCTTCTGTTTTTTAAAGTTGAAAAGTGAAGTGAATTCCTTCAGAATTTGTTTGCCAAAATATCTGATTCCCAGCTGATCCAAATTAACCGGCTCCAAACATAAACAGAGAGCCAGAGAGCATTCAATTATTTAAAAGTGTTTGTGATGAGTTGAAAATAACCTACACTAGCAAGACTAAAGTCACACCGATAGACAAACAGCGAGAACGAGAGAGCGGCGCACAGTGTGATTGTATTTGTGAGTGCCTGTAAAAACACGCACACTAACGTAGATCGCTCGGCTCTCCCGTTCATGTATACAAATCGAGCCTCCGATTGGGAAACAAGAGAAAGTGATTTTGTGTAACTGTGTTTGTGGTGACTCTATCAGAATCTACGAAGATGATTATTGAAAGCTAGCTAGTTCAGAAGCCAAAAGACAGTCTACAGAAAAGGATCACAGAGTAGAATACAATTTGCATAGTTTTTTAAAAGAATTTGTATATTAAAAATTCATGTGTATAAATGTAAGAGCTCTGTAGAGGTCATTTAAAGGAGAATTGCATTAAGGCAGTGGTCTGCTTTAGGAGCCGAAAAAAGAGCGTTTTTTCAACAATTTTTTTGAAAGGGAAGGAAATGATTGCGGTAAACGAAATTTTGAGACGATATAATATTATATTTAAACTTTAAAAAACAATTTTTATTATTGCAAATAATTGAAATTAGCGGAAGTTGCAACGATTTTTCTGGGGCGCCTAGAGTGTGCACCTGTTAATCGGTGCCGGTGATGGAGTTCGTGCGATGCATCTGAAACAGTGGAACCAAATTTTTTTTACTTTTTATAAGTTCCTTTTCTACATGAACTAAAAAAATTCCGAAGAAATGACGAAATTCCAAATTTTTTCTAAGTTTGAAAAAAAATTCACTTTTTTGGAAAAAAAGTTCACTTTAAGTTGCAAAACAAGTAATTTAAATAGTACTTTTATCCATTTTTTTTAGTTCAAATAGAAGATAATACAATACTGAAGCTAGATCACTTTGGTTTTTTTCGATCGGACATATATTTTTTTTACTATGGCCGGCACCGCTTTCCAAGACTTGTGAAAATAAAAACTCGAGAAAACGGGCTGTAAAGTCTGCCTGAGCATACGAACTTGCTCGACACTCGGCCACTAAAACTGATCTAGCTTCGAAAATATGTCGAATTGGCCTCTAAAATTTTGAACACATATTCTTGGATAGTTTTGGAATAGATTTAAGACAAAAAAAAAAAATCGATTTTTTGAAGTCTGTAAAGCAGACCACTGCCTTAAGCAGAAATGTTTACACTTGTAAAGCGAAATTTAAGACGCAACACTTGGTTCTAATATAGACACTTTGTGGTAATTTTCCGCTTGTTGATTTCCAAGGTTTTTGTTGTTTACAGATATGGGTTTCGTAGTTAAGCGGGATGCATGTTTTGGTTGTTCGGTGTGAGGAGAGGGTAAGGGGAAGAGGCCACGTGTAAGCTATGAAGAGAGGGGAACATAGAGTGGTTGAGAGAGTGATATACAGAGAGAGAGCTAGTAAACAAGAGCGAACCGGGTACAATATTTATCGATTTTCCGAGATCTTCGATAACATGTAATCTATTATTCAAAACATTGCGCGCTCTTCTTACCCCGCTTATATTTAGGTGTCATTGTCACAAATTGTATCTTTTGACTTGTAATAGGATTTCTTTTAATATTTACTTTTCAAATGAGACTCTATTTAATTTTTAAAGTTCCGCTGTTAGCACTACGACCTTAATATCAATAAATGCTTATTATAATTCTATTTTCGAATATATCGGTTTCGAATAAAGAATAAAGGTTCACAATCTGCTATATTATTTTTGTGAGAAACACTTTAGTGGAAATGTATTTTTGAATACGAATTTAAAAACATCCGCCAAAAATAGTAAGAAATACAAAAGCCACACTACGCAGTAAGAAATTTTTAGCAAAGCCCTGAAATGCGTTGGCATCCCCTTGACGCGATTCAGGAGTCGGTCTTGTTTAAACTGTTTTTTTTTTTTTTTTACCGAATTTCCGCATTCATAACAAAATCATCAAATAAAGTGGTTCATAAAGAAGCTAAATGTTATTTACAAATTTTGACTGTTATTAATTTAAATCGCGCCACGGCAGTGTGACCATTCGTCAGCGGGTCAAAAATAAGTGCTTTACTAAATCGCTTTTCAAGTGTTGGTATATTTCACACAATTGGCCATTAGTACGGATCAGAGTGTTTAGTACATAAAGTCAAAACTCGTAGATTTAACAGCGCATAGCAACTGCTCGAAGGTAAATATATGCAAAAATCAACCGTAGCCCCGTCTCAACAGCATCGAATGCCAGCCAAATCAAATTCATCAGCTAAAATCAGTTAAAACCCCAACAAAAATCATTTGCCACAGCAAAAATAAATTTTCTTCTCTGTGCGTGTGGGGCTGCAAGTGTGTGCGTGTGCTGCATGCATATATATGCGTGTGTGCGAGAGAGAGAGTGCTGTTTGTGTGTGTGCGTGTGCTTGTGTGTGGACAGTGACTCGTTGGTTAGAGGGAAAACAAAGAAAACTTCAGAAAAGAACGACGTAAAAAGCATTTGCAAATGTAAAATAATAAATACTAATCAAATAGCAATGTTAAAGAGTGCAAAGAGCATTAGCTAATTTCGTTTGGTTATTGATTTTTTGCATTTTCGTGCATGCAGTTTTGTAGCTGTAGTTGTTGTTGTTGTTCTTTTGGTGCTGCAGCTGCGCGTCGCAACTGTAAAATGCTGTTGCTGTTGTTGTTGCTTGCATTTTGGGTCAGTGAGCGAAATACGGTGCAAGAGAAGGAGAGAGATGGACGGTGTAACGGACAAAGGACATTGCATTTTGGAGGTTGTTGTTTGTGTTTGCTGGTGGCCCCCTCTCCCCCGAACACCACCCCAGTCCCCCACCCTCATGTATACACACAGCATCTGCAATTGCATCTCATCTGCTCTCCACCTCTCTCACCCGTTGTTCGCTGGCTCTCTCTAATTCCTCGCTGACTGTCTCTCTCTCAGCCTCCTTTGCAACCACAACCACAACAGTAAACAACAGCAACAACAGCAACAGCAACCATAACATGGAGAACATCGAAGAGGCCCCACCACTCTCCTCGGAGAGCAACAGCAATAGCAACAACAGCAGCGCCAGCAGCAGCTCCCACCAGCTCTCTCAATCGGCGGCCATGGGCGCCCCCGAACCCGAGGTCCCCTCTTCGTCTCAGTCACTCTCTCGTTCGCACTCTCATTCGCCCACGCCCGGCCCCTCGAGCCCCCATCCGAATCCCCTACTGAATGCATCTGAACCGGAGGCTCGCGCGAATTCACCGCATGATCACTCACCCACTCCTACTTTCCACCAGACTGCACCGCCACCCACGACTCCATCGACGGCACCGCAGCGGGAAGAGCAGCCGGAGCAGCAGCAGCAGCAGCCACATCAACTGCCGCAGGATCAGCCACTTCAACTGCAGCAGGATCAGCCACAAATTGCGGCTTTGCAGGACCAAGAGCCACAGCCTGTGGAGGATCAGCAATATCATCAGCAGCTTCAAGAGCAACCTCAGCCGTTGCAGGACCAACAGCAGCATCAAGAGTTGCCAGAACAGCTGCCACAGCCAGAGCTGCACGAACAGCAGCCACAGCCAGAGTTGCAGGATCAACAGCTGCCACAACAAGCATTGCAGGATCAACACCAAGATCTAACCCAGGATCAGCCAAATCAGGAGCTGCAATCGCCCGAACAACAATCTCCTTTAGAGTTGCAGAATCAGGAAGGACCACCGGCAACTCCAACCGACCAAGATCGTAATCCCGAGCAGGGACCGAATGTGCCACTCGTTGGAGAGGCTGAACCAGAAGCCGAGCCACCGCCACCGCTGCTCCTCGAGGAACCGGACGAGCAGGACTCCGAATCGCAGGAACTGAACGATCAGCAGCAACAGCAGCAGGCAGTGATCATAGACGCCAACGCCATAGCCGAAACCATAGACGCCAACGCCGTGGAGCGCATTGACGACTACGAAGAGGACGACGAGGAGGTGGATGAGGAGGAGGAAGTGGTAGAAGACCGGGTCGATAGAGCCGGCGAAGTCGCTTCCGTTTCCGGTGTCCAGCGCCTCCACTCGGTGGCCGTTTTGGCTCGCTACTCCTCAGCTTCACGAGCACCACGAAGCAGCAGCGGCAGCAGCCACCACAACAATAACAACAATAGCAACCATAACAATAACAACAATAACAGCAGCGGTCAATCGCGACGCACTCGCCATTTTTACAGCAACAACGGCAGTCACTTCAGCAACGACATGTTCCCCAGCCACGCCCCCCGCAGCAGCACCCAAACCTCGCCACGGGTCGGAGGTCGTCGCCAGCACTCCACTCCGGCTGCCGCCTCCAACTCGCCGCAGCACCAGGGCGTGGATCCCCTGCGGCTGCTCTATCCCAATGTCAACGAGGCAGAGACACCGCTGCCGAGGTGCTGGAGTCCCCACGACAAGTGCTTGTCCATCGGACTGTCGCAGAACAACCTGAGGGTCACCTACAAGGGTGAGTCCTGGCTGAAGTTTGAACACCATAATTATTAACCTATTCACTCAGACTTAACCTCCTCCTAAGTTCCTAAAGGGTCCCTTAATTATGCTCGAACTTCCTTTACTTAAAACACCTCCAGCTGTAAAAACTATTTAGATTTACTAGGGCTTCTAGCTACAGAATTAATATAAGCTGCATTTATGTCTTGAAACACCGTAGTTAGATTGTTGGAAGTTCGAATACAGTTAAATAACCTTAGAGGAATTTAAAAAGAATAATAATTCAAATCGCCTAGTTCATGTGTAAGAGCAATTTTAGGTACAAAAGCATTCATATTTCGTTACCAATGTGCATAAATATCTCCCTTTGCATAAGATTTACTTCCGTATCTATTTCCTACCCCTAAAAAACCTGTATTGAATATTATTCTTACCCAGATAATCGAGTACTTCAGATTTGTTAGAGCCCCCCTCCCCCAAAACTATCTTAAAAGATGTAACACAGAGGAATTACAAAATCAACTGCAGTTGTTGCGCTCTCTCGCCCTCTCTTACTCACACTGACACAGACAGGTGCTTTCAGCTGTGTGTTGGTGGTTTTTGTTTTTCACTGTTCACCTCTCCCACGCTCATTCGCGTGGCTGTTAAATCTTTAACAGCAACAGCTGGTCCCTGACAGTGTAAAATAACATGTAAAATTCATGTAAATTTTACAGATTTACTTTTAAAAGGGCGTATCGTTTTTATTTCAATTGTAATTGTGGGTAAAACATTTTAAATAAATTCATAACCTAATATTTAAATATGTCTATATATTAAAGGACCTTTTATTATTGTGTTTGTAACAACTGTTTAGCTGCTGGTTGACTGAAAAAGAACAGAAACACATTATATTAGTCATTAACGCAGTGAGGTTATTAAAGAAATGAATAACCATTTACATTTTTTTTCCAGGCGTGGGTAAACAACACAGTGATGCCGCCTCCGTGCGCACCGCCTATCCGATCCCGTCGTCCTGCGGACTCTACTACTTCGAGGTGAGGATCATCTCGAAGGGACGCAATGGATACATGGGCATTGGTTTGACCGCCCAGCAGTTCCGGATGAACCGCCTGCCAGGTTTGTGTTGCGAGATGCCACCATGATTCCTAATGACCGCACCCCCTTCAAGTAGGTTGGGACAAGCAATCGTACGGGTACCACGGCGATGACGGCAACTCGTTCAGCTCCTCGGGAAATGGCCAGACCTACGGGCCCACTTTCACCACCGGCGATGTGATCGGATGCTGCGTTAACTTTGTGAACAACACGTGTTTCTACACCAAGAACGGTGTGGATCTGGGCATCGCATTTAGGGATTTGCCGGTGGGTTTCCAATGCTATTTTTGCCTGCTTTCGTCTTCTAACTTTTTGTGTTTTTGCTATCCAGACCAAGCTGTATCCAACAGTGGGTCTACAGACTCCCGGCGAGGAGGTGGATGCCAACTTTGGCCAGGAACCTTTCAAGTTCGACAAGATCGTGGACATGATGAAGGAGATGCGGTCGAATGTGCTGCGCAAGATCGACAGATATCCACATCTCCTGGAGACACCAGAGAATCTAATGAATCGGTAAGTATTTACTAAGTTTTGTTCACTTACATTCAGGTTTAACAACGTATAATGAAATCATTTCTTCACTTTGAATTGTATCTATTGAAATGTACTCTATTTTTTTAATTTCAAGTCTGGTTTCCACCTATCTGGTGCATAATGCGTTTAGCAAGACCGCCGAGGCCTTCAATGGCTATACAAATCTGACATCCGAGGAGGACTTTGCATCCATAAAAATTCGTCAAAGTTCGTACATTGTCTGTTTATTTTTTGAGCAAAAACTCAACTAATAATTTGCACTTCCCTTAGAAATCATAAAACTCATACTGACAGGCAAAATGAGCCAAGCCATCGAGCACACACTGCGCTCCTTTCCCGGACTTCTTGAAAACAATAAGAACCTCTGGTTCGCCTTGAAGTGCCGCCAGTTTATCGAGATGATCAATGGAGCAGACATAGAGGTGGGTTCTTTTATAATTAATTTATAGATCAAAAATAATAATGATGGTTTCTCTTGTAAAAAGAATGTAAACAACAAAGTCACCGCCACCACCCAGACCATGCCCACAAATCAGACGTCCGTGATACAGTCCACCAAGGCGTTCAAGCACAGCAAGAGCGGCAATGGAAATGGCAACGTCAACATCAATCAGACTCAACAACAACAACAGAACAACACTGCGACTCCAGCTGTGATAAAGCCACAAGGCGGCGATAAGCCAGAAATAAAAAAGTAAGTTTAAAATTAAGAAATATGTACTCAAGAGTTCATACTTTTGAAGTAGATAAACTTTAATTCTTTCTTATCTCATACATACAATATAAACATAAAGTGTATTATCAAAATCAAGCTAGTTTTTATAAAGACATTTAAATATAACTTGTTCTTTTAGTATGATGGTTGATGACAACTCCAACAAGTGCGTGGAGCACGACAGCAACAGCATGGACGTGGAAATGGAGCCCTGCCAGAGTCACTCCAACGGCGCCGACTCCTGTTCCAATGGCAATGCCAGCGCAGCGCGCAACTCTCTAGATGCCATCGACGAGGAAATGGGTAGGTGATCTATTGCTTGCATTTCCGGCGAGATCCGTAATCCCCAGCACTTGCAGATGTAGATGTTTCACCCTCATCGCGCAGTTGTGGACGCGTTATCGAGAAGATCCTCGAGTTCGGCAAAGAACTATCCAGCATGGGCCAGCAGCTGGAGAAGGAGAACCTCATGACTGAAGAGGAGCGTCAAATGTTGGAGGTACAAATAAGATTAAAATTAAAACGAGTGTCAAAAGAAACTAGAGTTGAGCTACAGTCCTAATATTTAATATATTTTTATTTACTTTTTATTTTAATATTTTATTTACTTAATAACTGTTTTTCAAAATTTGTATGATCTTTACGATCGAAATTCAATGTTATTCCACCATCTTAATAAGCTCATATCTTCAGTAGATTTTAAAAGAGATCTTTAAATTAAATGTACTATTATTTTCAGGATGCATTTAGCTTGATTGCCTACTCAAATCCCTGGTCCAGTCCGCTGGGCTGGCTGCTGTGTCCCTCGCGACGCGAAAACGTTTCCAGCACGCTCAACTCGGCCATATTGGGTGAGTCCTTGAAGAAACTATCTCACCAAAAGCAGCACAATAATCTCCGATATTACAGAGTCACTGAACTGCGAGCGTCGTCCGCCGCTGGAGTATCTGGTGGCCCATGCCTCCGAGCTGATCAAGGTCATCGGACAGCACTCGCTGGGCGAGGACGCTTTCATTACCATCGACGACGTGTTCCCGCAAAATTGACCCAGTTCGCCGACGCTGCTGAAGATGTTCGAGACCACGCTGACCCTGCCGCGCACCAGTGTGCTCACGGAACCGTTGGGCAGCGCCGGAACCGGAACTGGGCCCTCCACATCGACGGCCGCCGTGGCCGTTCAGACATCCAAACGGAGGCGACGGCGGCGCAACAAACGCCGTCGCAAATCATCGCTGTCGAGCAGCACGGATGCCCCGTCGTCCCGCACTTATGATCCCGTGATGACGGGCAGTACGCACCGATCGGGCGTGGCGGCATCGACGGGCGGCGGGAGCGTTGGAACGGGACCAGTGCGACGGGGTCGGCGCAGGAGCGGGGTCAGCTCATCTTCATCGGCGGCAGCGGCGGCGGCTGCAGCAGCGGCAGCCGAAGAGGAGGCGCAACAGGCGGAAGAGGAGGCTGTTCGGCAGGAGGAGGCTGCGGAGATCTTGAGCGGCAACAGCAGCCCATCGATGTTCGTCGATCCGCAGGACTTCTTTGAGACCCTGGACTAAATCTAGATTATTTACAATTCGTAGTAGGTTAAATTTTGTTGTTACTTCCTTACGTTCTCACCTTATTTTTTTAAACGCGCCACTAACTTCGGAGCGCCTCAATTTAAACCGATTAATTGCGCCCTTCTTTTAACTGTTCGATTATGCTAAAGTTGCGATGCTTAATGCGGCCTTTGATTTAGCGTGATTTTTTAATAACTTTTAACATATATTTTATAAAGCCTCTCTAAGCATAAAGTGTGTAATATTATGATGTATAATTAAATTTGCGAACTGTGCTGCGACACGATCATTGAAACTGATTTGATTCTTTGTTTTTCGCTTCCACCGCCCAAAAACACACTGCTAAAAACACAACACCAAAACATAATCTAGAATCGAAACTGAAGTGGACTAGCCAAGTGCAAAAATTGTTCAATCATTTACTTAGAAAGTTAATAGAGAACCGTAAAATCCATAGTTAATTGGTTTACACGTACGTAGACTCCGCGTTCAGATTTTCCGAGTTTTCTGCGATTTTCGATGGACTTCGCGTCATTATGTGTATTGTGGCAAGACTAAGCAAAAGCAAAAGAACATTTTAAGTGTAATAATTCGCTATAGTGATTAAGCAAATTACAATTTAATCTATATATACAAGATTGGTCATACACACATACGGCAAGCATGAATACAATTAAACCGGATAATCGTTTAAATATATTGTATGGATGTGTATTTCAGGAAAAGCGGAACTGTGTTTCATTGTGAATTGTGGGTGCATTTTAAATGTTTGTGGGCAAGTGAAACTTTTGGTTCTTCGAATCTTTGCAAAGGGAAATAAATCGGTTGGTGGTTCGCAGATTATTTTATTTTATTATCATTTATTTTTAGTACAAAAGCTAGGGTCATTAAAGCAGATTCTCTTTCTTTATAAATAGCACACAATATACTTCAGATACCAATTTTAAAATTAAGTATACTTTAAATATTAGTCAAAAAGTATTAGCTTGTCAAAGCGGTTTTATGTTTATAAACATTATAAATTATAAAACCCTTTTTTGTTTATAAGGGTTTCCAAATGCTCTCAATATATACTGCGTTAACATTTTTTTAGAGTTCAAGACCTACAGATCCGGTTGCCTGATCCTCTGGACTTTCTCATGATTTTTAACGTGCTCCTTTAGCATTCGCATTATCTCGTTATCGAATGTCGGGGGCGTTGGCTTTGTTTCGGTTGCCCAATAGAAGATATCCCAATCGTTACTCACTCCATTAATTAGCTGATCATACTCGGCAGTCTGTTCAGCATTGAAATCCTTTAGATGTTTAGCCACAAAAGTGCTCAGCAAAAGATCGTTTTCCAGCATCCCACGTTTTCGGCTTTGATACAAGAGGCTACAAAAATTAATAAATTATGTTAGCGTGCAAGAATCCAACTTATTTTAATTATAAAATACCGCTGCTTGCGAGTTTCAAGGGGCTCATCGGGGCGGACAGGATATTCCGGAACTGGCAAATGCGGAGGATCATCGTAATCTACAATTTCACCGGGAGTTGTAAACTCAGTTTTGTCCAAGTTACTGGCAAAACGGTTTTGGGCGATCGAAGGTAAAGCCGCACGACGCCCAACTGTAGTTAACTAAATATATACACAAATATAAACTTTCTTGATTTTAGTAGATCTTTAAAACTTACCAGAAATTGTCGCAACATTTTAGGAACAAACAAAACAATGATATAACGACAGTGTTGAAAAACTACTCCTTGAAGAGCCTTTAGTTCTTGCTATAAATATCGAACGCACTTTCTATAAAAAGATCTGAAAGTAAAGTTTAATTCAAAATAAACTAAACTACCATGTAAAAAAATTCTAAGCGAGATCGATAAATTTGTTTTTATAATTGTATTTGTTTTTTATTAAATCTTTATAAAATAAAGAATTAATTTTCTATATAAATAGTTGAATATGTTGTATAGTTCCTCTTTGTGAGAACTAATACAACTTATTAAAATCAGACTTTTAAAGGAAATAAAATAACTGAATGTACTTAATGAAGTTTTTAATTCTAAAATAAAAAAACAGAAAAATTTTTTAGTTTATAGCAGCTGTTGCTGCCAGTGTTAGTCAGCCCCGCCCACGCCACAACCAGTGCTGCGCATGGCGGTCGCGAACAGCTGTTCACCACTCGGGCTCTGCAGTTTGAAAGAGCGAACGAAGCAAGAGAGCAGCTAAATTTTCGCACACTAGAAAAGTGCAATTTACCAATATCACTGCGGCCAAAAAAATACTAGTGCAAGTGTTCGTCGAGTGCAACGGTAAATGCAAGCGATCGGTGCAATTACAACAAACAAATCGCGAAAAAAAGGAGCGCAAAACGAACGAAACCAATAAGAAAAGCCAAAGGCAAAAAGAGAGCCTCCTGCACACACACACATTGACTTTACAGAGGCACACATACACACAAACATTTGAGCGGTGTGTATACGGCGCTGGCTGGAAAACTAGGCGGTGGTAAATGTGAAGCTGAAAAAAAGTGGAAAAAGGAAAACTCAGGGGGTGGTGGGTGGTGTCCCAGTGGGCGGGGGGTGTGGCGTGTGCAGCGCGCGAGAGTGCGTAGTGCGTGTGCGTGTGAGTGAGTGCGCGTGCGAATGTGTGTGAGTGTAACTGCGACAAACTAAATGAAAATTTATACACCCGAAATGGGAAAACTGTTTGCATAAAAAACGCATAAAATCGGCATTATTTTTTGCATAATTTAATTTTCTAACGGAAATGGTCCAAGAAAAACCCCCAAGTCCGCAGCCTTTTTCCAAATAGCCGGCTCTTTTTTAGCGCCTACGCCCACGCTTAATACATACACACGGCAAATAAAACATACAAGGAAGAAAAACATGAAAAACTAAAATATATCGAAAGTGAACCCCTCTATGAATAAATCAAAACCACAAAATAAAGTAATTCTAAAAAGTGAACCCTAACAAAATTATAAACTATTAATCGCATTCAAACTAAAAAAAACGTTACCCCAAAACAAAATGAAATGTTAATCCAAAAACTTGGCTTAAATATTTGTGGATTTCCGGCCTCGAAACTAATTCACTTACATGATAAATTACCGCCCCTTATCTCGAAACCCCGTTATATCTGAAGGATTTATCTTATCAGCGCGATTGATGAATTTTGTATCGATATCACAAACATGCTCCATATGCAAATTAGCTGGCTATCATTACTTTTGCTTTTATTTTTACTTTGCGTCTGCTGATAAAAAACAAAAACAACATAATTGAAACAGTGCGCGCCCTATTGGACATACAGTGGCGGTCATAAAATTAGGCCCAGCCAGTGCTCTACTCTGTACAGTGCACGCCATATGCAGTGAATCAATGATGATATATTTTTGTTTAGTTATAAAAATACAATAAAAACATGTTAATGCTACTATTCATTTAGTGACAGCTGTGTACTTTAATTTAGTAACAGCCTTGGTTTTCATTGGTTCCCTTTATCGAGCGTGCACTGTTTGGAGTGAGTCACTGGCTGACCCGTGCATTTGTTATTGTTGATGGGTTCAATATTCCATTTCAGTTGAAACCGTAAAACTGTACATAAGCAAATAAGATAAAAAGAAAGAAAGTCCAGGAAAATTGGAGAACAAAAAAGATTAACCGAAAAGCCCCCGTGTAAATCCAAATCCAAATCAGAATCCAAACCCGATCGCAATGGGCTGCACCACATCCGCCGAAGAACGCGCCGCCATACAGCGATCCAAACAGATCGAGAAGAACCTGAAGGAGGATGGCATCCAGGCGGCCAAGGACATCAAGCTCCTGCTGCTGGGTAAGTGCACTTTTCCCCCCTCCATTTTCCCCCCGATCGCCGGAAGTGGAAACTCAGCTCCCCGGCGTTTACCTTTTGCTATTGTTCTATTTCGAGGCAAATTTGTTGGTTTATCGCGGTCAGATTCCGGGGCACTTGAGTGAGTGCGTTGGAAAATTGTATTTTCGGTTTTACGTGGCGATAGATAGGGGAATATTTATTGCACACACTTTTGGTGAACGAGAACAGTGGCGGAAATGCTGGATATGCAAAGCGGAATTTCACTTTACCTAATTTTTACATTTTTTGGGGTTCTAAGGGTTCTGTATTTAGATTGTGAGTCATTAAAATCATAAGTGGTCTTTCATTAACATTTTTGTTTTCAAAACCCAACAAATATGTGTGTTGATAAACCAAAAGCGACCAAAACAGTTTGTTAATACGAATAAGCTGATAATATTCAACAATTCCCATATCTTTTAGTTAACTTAAACTTTAACCGGGAAATGGTATTCAGTATATTCAATTTAGTTTAAGTTTTTAAGTGTTCCGCAGCGATAAGCAAAATATCTCAATCAATAGAAACTTCAAAGTAGTTAAACCTTAATTTAACGACTTGTTGCCCCCACAAAAGAGAGCCCACCCAAGGTAATAGCCCTCTGTTTGACTGATGATGCATCGGTTTCACGACAAAACTATTCTTAGCGTGTTTTTTTGGCCAAGGCGAAACCGAAGTAATTTGGGTCAACTTTTGGGTGTTGCATGTTTAATGGAATTCCTAAAATAAAGAGGACTCACGAACCACTGTGCAGGCCGAATTCATGAACAATGGCAGCAGCAACAGTTGCATCTGCCTTTGTGGCAGCCGAGTGTGAAAACTAAACACTTTCAAGGAGCCATGTGGCTTGTGGAGCTCTCGCCGCGATTCAAGTGCTTCAGTGGCATGCTAGTGATGGGATAGGAATTGTTTTGGAAAAACCTAAAAATACGAGTATACCTAGAAAGAGCTATGCATCAGCCTTAAATATACTTTGATTAAGACAAATAAACGCTATTTCGTAAATATAACAATAAATTATTTTATGTTTGGAAGCTTGTTACGAACAAGTTATGACGAAGAAAATAAATCTGTTTAAGACCTCAAATGTTTGAACTTAAAGCTGAAAGGTTAACCCTTTTGGTAAACTTTATAGACTTAAAATTTTTTAATAAAAATCATTTTGAAAATTAATTTTATTGAAAGATGGTTTTTATCGCTTTTCTTTTTAAAATAAACTGAAATCAGTTGCTTGAATTCCATATAAATACAGTTAAGTAAACTATTCTTATATCTCGCACTTACACAAAAAAAACTCTTAAACGTTTTTGTATTTCCTTAATTTTATGGATCCCATATTGTTGAATCCCATGGGTTCATCCCAGATGTTTGTCATCTCTGTTCGGCATCAGTTCCGATCTAATCCACAAGTGCAGCCACGACTGCAGCTGCAGCCTTAGCCTTAGCCTTAGATTTGGCCAAGTGCGTCTGCATCCGCCGAAGAGTGGAGGCAATCGACGCCACTTGACATTGAAACAATTGCACGTGTGTGCCGCAGGGTGGCTGGGCTTCATCATGGTTGTGGCTTTGGGGGCCAGAGTGTTTGTTAACCTGGTTGCGCCACTGACATTGAAATGTCAGTTAATCCTATTGACTTTGACTCGCCCCCGAAAAAGAGATAAGGAGGCAGGCGGGCGGAGAAATGACAAAGCTGCAGCCTACATGCGAATTTCTCTTTCACTTTAACATCGTACACAAACATGTTACTGAAACAAGTTGCTGCACCAAAAGGAATCACTTTAAAAAATCAGATTAATTCATTGAATGGTTGTAATATTATATTGCATGAAAAATAATTTATGCTTTTACTTACGAAAAGGATAAAATTCTTTCTTTCTTCAAATGATCATTGCTACCAATAAAAAAGTTCAGAAATGCTTTTATCCAACTAAACTTCTTATCTCTTTTCTTACGTTTGAAAACGATTTTAACCAAATTATCAATATTATCAATATAAAAGTATATTTTAAACAGGCTTTTACTTTACAAGCTAGATGATCTTAAATATTTTGTTTTGCTGCGAATAACACATAAAAGTTTTTTAATAAACACACATTTTGTAGTTTTTACTAATTTATTTGTTGTGTAGGCGCATTACTTATTGCACAGTTACTCGCTGTTGTTCTGTGCAATCAGGCAAAACTTTTAACCGCCCTAACAGGCAACAAGGAGCAGAGTCGAGTGGCGAGGAGTGGAGTGGCGTGGCATGCAGCCATGTTGCAACATGGCCCGTTTAATGCGGTGGTGGTGGGCAGTGGGTGGGTTGTGGGTTGTGGTCTTTGGGCCGTGGGTAGTGTAAGTGGGCGGCATGTGGGCGGTAAAAGGGAGACGAATGGCAGGCGGAAGCATCGAATGGCGGCCAGGAAACACTAACGAAACAATGGACGGCACAAAAACGGAAGGGAGTGAAAGGAAACATGTACGTGTCCTGGGTGTGGCTGCATACTTCACAACGGCACTGTTGTCCCTCAAGTGGCGCCTCCTGGCGGAAGTTTGAAGAAACCGCCACTTGAGGCATAATTTTCTAGCCAAAGGTTATTGAGGAAACGTTCGATGCTCGTTTGTTTGCCACTTTGTTGGCCCCTTTGGCTGAGTGATATGGCTCTATAAAACAATAAAGAACAATTGCAAACTGGTCAGAACTAGAGAAATAAAATGCAAGTTTCTGATTATAAGATACAGTAAGCATAATGATTGTCTTAGCTTTGAAAGGAATAAGTTTTATCTTTGTTCAATGATAAACAATTTTATGTTATCTGAATGTTTACTTAAGTTATTAATAAAGTCTTTAGTTTCCGTTATCAAATAAATTAGTTGCGTTGATAATTCCCTTGTGAATAACTGTGACGCATTTTAAGGCTGTTCATATAAAAAGTGAACTCTTAAGACTATTCCCTTTTTCCCGAATTAAGAAATACCACTTTGATTAATCAACACACTACCGAAAAAATTATACTTTCTCGAGAAAAATGCGACGTATGAATATTCAACCGAGCATAATTTAGAGAGCAATCAGCAAAAGCATCGATGACTGACCCACTCAATCTTGAACACCAAACAAATGTAACAAAGCAATTAAATTTTGGGCCCGCTTCTCAAAAGTCTCGGGCCAAACAGCTCACAAAATGCCAGTAAACAGGCTCGTTAAATAAACTATAAAAGATGCCAAATACAACACAAATCGAACTTAATTGAGCAGAGTCAAATGTCGACCGAGTGCCAAGAGGCCCTGCGACCTGCAACCCGTAAAACGGCATGGAAAATGTGAAAATGGCACTGGATGGGTGGTGGGGTGGTGGGTCGGGGATTCGGGGGAGGTGCAGATTGTTTCAGCAGAGCGACAAGTGCACAAGTGCTCCACTTTGCCGCTGTCTGTCATTTCAAAAGAGCGAAGAGTTCGCGTGATATGAAAAAAAGTTGTCAATTTGTTTGCCGTTTGTCGTTGGCTGCGGTTTGTGGTTTCGCCCTTCCCTCTTTGCAGTTCACCCTCTGCTTCTGGATCCCAATTCATTCAATAATTTCATTTGCCCATTCATTGTTTTCGTTTTTTTATTCTGCACTGACATCGTTTTGGTCCATTTTCGCACAGCGATAATTTAATTAAGCTCGTTAGGGGGATCGAGGTGAAAATTGGGGGTCCAACTTTGAATTCGAAATTCACGTATTGTGCACGCAACATTATTCAAATGTGGTGTGCAAAATAGTGTACAATCTAGAGGACCTAATTTCTATTTACAAAAAAAAAAAAGATGAAGTAAACTTGTTACAGATTAAATCCAAGGTACCAATATTGCTATTTATGTAGTTGTTATTAAAAAAAATGCTACCTATCATGAGAAATCGTTTTTTATTCTGAAAGGTTAACATCACAAATCCACATTTTAGACAAGATATTTCTCAGTTATAATTCACCTTTTATATGGCTTTATTTCCTCATGCAGTTGTTGCATTTTTCATTGTCCTTTTTTGACATTTTGTGTTTGTCACGCCATTTGCTAGTAAAGGTCCAAATTGCCTGTTTTTCCTTAACCCTTTGACACGAGAACGTGGGGGTAATTATCCTCGCCTTTGAGGGACACTGGATGGGTTAAGGGAGGTGGTGCTGGAATTTCTAGGAAAATCAGCCTCTTCCCGGAAAACTTCACTCGTGATTGCCTCTTGTCAAAGGTTCAGAGTCAGGATGTCAGCACTTAATTGGCTGGCTGACGAGTTCAAGGTAAAATTATACTTGCAAGCAGGGAAAGGGGTTTAGCTCGGTCATTGTTGGGATCTTAAAACATAGATTGCATTCCTTAAAAAATTTTATAAAGTAAGGTTTTAAAGGCATTTTAAAATGAATATAATTTTAATGATTTTTTAACTAACTGAAGTTAAAGTTTAACGAAAGTGTACATTCAGTAAATGCTAAGCCCACTTAAAATTTGCCCAAATTAAAAGTGCCAAAGAAGTTATCGACCTTAAAAGAACAATCAATCAGCCCGTGCTATTAATTCGTGCTTGCCTGGCTCCCCTGTACAATAAAGCATAAGTAATTGCGGACAATTCGCCCGGTTGATGGCCATGTCGGTTCTCTAATTGAAGCTCAATGTCTTTTTTATGAGAACGTTAATTGATTTAGTCATAATCTAGATTTGCAGTTGCAGCTATTGAACGATTGAGGCATTCAATCAAAGTTTCCGTCAAACGATTCCCATCAATCGAAACAATGCGATTGTTTTATCTAATAGTGGTTTCCCCCCGATTTTCCGCTGTACCGTTATGTTAGAGTGGAAGCGAGAGGACAAGTAGGATCCTGCTGCTGGCCAACTGTTTTGTGCTAATGCGCTTTGGCTTGCCCCATAAACGTGGCAAAGTTCTAAAGCCGTCGACTTAATTGTGTGCGAGGAGGGTAGCAGTAGCAGCGTTTTTCATTTAAACTGCAAAGCCACTTTAAGTTGCTCAAAAAAAAAAAATGAAAAAAAAAAAATAAAAATAGGAAAGAAAAACGAAAATCGCGTGGGCGCACTCGCTGTTCTGGGCGATTGTCCTTGTCTTGCGGACACTCGCTGTTTTCGTCCTGCGCAGACTCGTTATTATGCTCTCGGCTCTCTGCGAACTTCCAGTGGCGCAGGCGCAGGCGCTCTCTTCCGCTCTCTCCCTTTGAGCTTTCACTGTGTGTACTGAGAAAGCTCGCCTCTTTGGGCGGCACCAGAAAAGAGAGCGCATTTCCAGCGCATCCAGGCACACAGTTCCGTTAGTTCAGTTGAATTCTGCCAGCTCTCCAGAAAACTCGCACGAAAGGGAGCTATAAAACCGTTAAATTGGAGTTCTAAAAACATTAAAAAGCGCTGCAAAAAAAGTGTAAAATATATTCAAAATATGTAATACTCAAATGTGTTTAGTTAAAGTTTTAACAACAATTCAGTTTGGCGCTTGAATCTGTGTGTTAACTTCGCAAAAGTTCTTCCCCCAATTTTCTCGCCTCTTTTTTGGACAAACGCATGAATCATTTAGCCTGCTGGAATACAAAAACAAATAGCTGCCAAGTGTACAAAAGAAAAGTTTTGTTTGTGCTTTTCGTATTTGGCTGAAACAACAAAAAAAAAGAATTGCCTCCTTGCGTCAGCATGTGCCCATTTTCCAGCTCTCTCTCTCTCCCTCTCTCTCCTGTTTATGGCCACTTGTAAGACAGCGTGGATGGAAAAAAATTATTTAAAGTGGGTGGAAGTTGCCAACAATGGAGCTATTAATCACATAAATAATCAAAAACAACAAATATTATGGACCAATAATTGTTGACTTTTTTGCAAAAAAAAAAACAAAAATTGTTATCGTAAATTATTGATTTTTTGCCATATTTGTACGCATTTTCGGGTTTTGGTTAATGAAAACCACGCTCCTTAATTACATTTTTTGTATGGCTCAAAAAGCCCGTGCCTAGAGCTTTTCCACTCGCTACTCTCTCTAGTTGCGCCTCTCCATTACTAGTTTTCCCTAGCCAAAGACAACAAAATTTCCCGAACTGTCCAGTGAGTAACGAATTTCCTTGCTCTTGGACATGCGAATTTTTCAGTTTACAATTAGACTCAACCGTTAGCGGTCAAAACGCGTATCCTTGAGAATCCCTTTCTGCGGATCAAAACAAAGTGCGCAGATGAAAACAAAACTGAATTGTTGTGTGACATAATAATATATAATATTGCAGTGAAAGAAAATAACTCCTAAGAAAAAACATCAAAAGAAGTGAAAAGGAAGTGCTACACAAAAACCAACAAAAAATCTAAATTCAAACTGGAAATTAAGTTAAAGTGACAGAATAAACTACCCTGGATAGTAGAGTTAGTTAACATCCCCGCTTTGTTTTCCACCCAAACGTTAAACACCTGGTTTTCTTCGCTGGCAACGTAGTCGGCCATTGAGTTGGCCGATACCAAACGACCTTCAAAACGTTTTGCGTCGAGGCAATACGCACCATGGGCTGCGCACAGTCTGCCGAGGAGCGAGCCGCAGCCGCCAGGAGTCGCCTCATCGAGCGCAATCTCAAGGAGGACGGCATACAGGCGGCAAAGGACATCAAACTCCTGCTGCTCGGTGAGTTTCCCCAGGCGGCAGCTCGCTAAATGAACAGGCAACGAACGAACGAACGGAACGCATGAATATTTAATTCACGGCACGGCTAAAATTAGTGTAGCATACTTAGCGGCTGCCCTGGCGGCTCATTAAAAGCCCCGGCCATGTCCTTAGAACAAGCTTCTGTATCATTTTTTGTCAGCTGCAGCCTTGGCCTTTGAGCGATGCTATTTGTGGTCCTCGCTGGAAATTTATACCCACTTCAGCTGAGCACTCAAAGGACCCATTTCACATAGTTCTTTTTAAATGCGAAAGCGGTTGCTAAACTTTTAAGTTTAAAAACGGGACATAAACAACGTGCAAAAGTCGGTTTTTAAAAAAGCATATTAAAAATTATACTTATCACGGAAATTTTTCGAGTTTGGATATTACAAAACGCGGTAAAAATTTATTCCACATTGGCAAAAATTTTTAAATCTTAAAAATCCTGAAATCAAAGTGTATACTGGTTCACAAAATTATTTGTTCTTTCTTTTTAAATAAACAAACAAAATCAAAGGTGGAAAGTCATCCTGATTCGTTTTTTTTTGCCATATTAATAAATCCCAAAGAACTCCACTGTTTAATTACATCAATAATTTAATTGAATGGCATTTCATATCGATTTCCTGACATAGCAACTGCAAGTTGTTTCTTGGCAGAGTTCCCTCTCGATTTTTGCTATAAGCGACTGTGAATTGCCATAAATTTAATAATCACAATAATATATATTCATGTATCAGACGGAAAGTTCAAGGTCAGTTTGTTGCGGGTGAATCGCTTGAATTAGATTGGATTGTGTGTGAGAGGGTGCAAAAGTCAGGAAATAGTGAGCGTATGTAGAAAATATATAGCAGTTGATTGTAACTGCAATTGGATTCCGATTTGTGATAAGCGGACATAATAAACATGTCCGCTGGGAGACATTAACAAATGAAAAATCGCCGATGCATCGGCATAAATAACCTCTGCGAATGCTCCCCTTTTGAAACGGGCAAAAAATGTATATAGTATATGGCAAAATTTACCAAATTTGGGCTGTTAATCAAGGCGGAAAGTGTAGGAAAAACTGCATTTCGCTTTTCGTTCTGCTGGCCAGATGAGTAATTTTCATATTTTCATACGCTTTTTTTTTCAGTAACTCTCATCTCCGGCTGCATATTCAACCTACCGCCTCATTTCGCTGTTTACATTTCGTGTATTTCATTTAATTTCCTCTTTGCTCGGACTCATCTGAAAATGTTGGGCAGGGGGAGAAGATTTCAATTTCTGACAGTTTTGCGTGTGTTTCGGAATAAAATTGTTCATTTTCAGGCAACACCCACTGCGTGTGTGTGCTGGAAATGTTTATTTAAAAAGATTCTTCTTGCTTTTTTTCGCCTTGCCGTGCGCATCCGAAAAATTCATAATAATAATCAGAGCAACACGTTCGTACGCTCCATCTCTGTCTGTTGCCGAATCTTTTCTTTTGTTTTCCTGCAATCCACGGCGGCATTAAATTTAAGCACTTTGCCTTCGATTTCCACACAAACAAAACATTAATCTCAGGTGCCTTCTCGGTCCCCCGATTGCCTCTATAAACAATCCAGGGAAATTTCCCTGTTCGCTGCTCTTAAGTTTTCAAAATCTAAACATTTTCCTTGGTTAAGGTTTTTTTTCGGGTGGAGTTTTTTTTTTTCAAAAGATTATTTTAAGTTTTTGTGAAGGTGTGTAGACTTTTTCAAGTGCTGGACAATGAACTCTTTTTCTTTTATGATTTTAATGGAATAAATCAGGAAATGTAAATTGAAAAACTCTGAATTGATCAGGATGTCAAGAACTTAAACCATTAATAGGTAATTAGATAAATTCTATCTGACAATTTACTTTAATGTACTACCAAATAAATTCAGAACATTATTTCAGAATAATGAAATACTATATATAAATTTGAGTACTTAAAATTCAAGTGGATAATTAAGAAAGATTTTTTTAGCAATGAGTAATAGCAACATAACTTTCGGAATTATCGCAGAATGCGCGAGGAATGTTATCACAAAAGTTGTATATTAAAACCAAATAAACTGCGTTTTATTTAAAGCTCTTCGAAGATGATTAAGTTGCAGTGGGCAGTTAAAATAAGCAAATGCAATTACCGTTTATCAAATTATGCCATTTTCCCAAGGACAGCTAAGCTAAGCAATTTTCCAGCCGAGCTCTCCGCTGTCTCGATTATCTCGTTTATCACAAAACCCCCTTCAGCAGACACTCAATTAACAAATTGCATTCAATTGGATGGAAATTCTGCTAAAATTGCAGCTGGCAAATCCTTCAAAGTAGATAGTAGAAAAAAGCGAATGAACGACAAGACAAGATGTAGACGAGCAAAAGGAGTCTATAATATAGTCGCCAGATGACCAGGGCCAAACAATTAATCCTTTGTTTGCCATTTATAGTTGCCCCCTCTTTGCGTACTTTTCCTCATTTCTTTTGGCCGACGGCAACTCAAGATGATACATTGGCGACTACGATGATGATAGTGATGATGATGATGATGATGATGAGGATGTTGATAATCACGGCGATGTGGGTGGGTGGGTGTGCTCAAAGGCCATTAAGCCCTACTTGAGGAGCACAAAGCACAGACATACATAGTGCTCGAGAACTAAACGCAGCATAAATATTTGCAGCCCTCCTAAGATCTTTTGTCGGCGCCGATAACCGCATAACCAGACGCATAAAGACCCCATATTATATTATATGTATATCCCATACCCCATACACTTATGTATCTCCATGCATCACTAACTTTGTTCTGTATCTGTATCTGTATCTCTAACTGTAACTGTATCTTTTTCCTCCTCTAGGTGCCGGTGAATCGGGCAAGAGCACAATAGTCAAACAGATGAAAATCATTCACGAGAGCGGCTTCACTGCGGAGGACTTTAAACAATATCGACCGGTTGTCTACAGCAACACAATACAATCATTAGTTGCAATATTGCGCGCGATGCCAAACCTAAGTATTCAGTACAGCAATAACGAGCGGGAGGTAAGTCCCCCAATGAGTTCCCATTCACTACAGTTACTAACCCTGCCTTTTCCCTCCTTTCTTTCTTTCTTTCTTTCTTTTTTTCTGTAACCTTTCTCCGCTTTCCACGATCCCAGAGCGATGCCAAGATGGTGTTCGACGTGTGCCAGCGGATGCACGACACCGAACCCTTCTCGGAGGAGCTGCTGGCCGCCATGAAGCGCCTTTGGCAGGATGCCGGCGTCCAGGAGTGCTTCTCGCGCAGCAACGAATACCAACTGAACGACTCCGCTAAATAGTGAGTACAAACATACACAAATATCAGATACAAACTATCAAACACACAGTATTTGGCCACGTTCGAATGGGGTGTGAATGGATACTGGCAGATGGTGCGGCCAATTATTTTAAATGCTGTATTTTTAATCAGTTGGCAAACACGTAGGCGGCAAAGCCAAACAGGTGGATATTATTTTAAATGTTTCCGGTTGAAGAAAAAAGCAGACATGCAGATTGAGAAGTAAAAAATATAAAAAACAAAAATTTAAAAAGTTTAAAATAGTCAAATAGAATGGGCTGCAATTATAATAAATTAACTAACAAAAAACGATATACAGAAAGTAAAGTTTTAGAGTAAAGGTATAAAAATGTACAACTTTCATATAAAAGCAGATCAAACGAACTTCTTAAATTAAATTTGATTCAAATTAGGCAAAAATCTCTGAAATGCCTTAACCTTCACTTCGATCTAAAAATAACTTTGCCGTATCACGATTCGCCTTTCCTCTTTATTTATTTAAAGCAACATCATTATGACTGTAGATACGTGATTTTCGCCCTTTCAATTAAACTTGTAATTGAATATGGCTGGTTTCACTTTATAACAATCTAAAAATAAAGTTGATTGTGCAGGCTGTGGATAATTTAATATAGAGTTTCAGTTCTTGTATGCCTTAAGAGTGTCAGTTCAATATGTTGGTCCTCAAAAGGTTTTTAAAGTCAAGTTAGAAATAGAATCACTTCTAAGATTATCCTCGTCAAAGCGTTCAGCCAATAAAACTAATGATACACTTAGCAAAAAGCAATTAATCATGGGCATAGATTGGCGTTTGCTTGACCTTAGCCATCACACTTTGTCCTGAGCCCACTTGGCCTTTGATTAATGATAATGCCAGACAAGAAAAACAAACAGAAACACCATTTTTATTGCATACTTTTCGACGCTTTATTGGGTACAATTATTCTTGGGAAAAACTACAACTAAATATGGGCGAACATAATGGGTTCTATATACACATGTATCAACATAAGTACACAACGATTATTTAGTTACACACGCACACACGGGATGTGCTGAATTTGTTGGTTATATTTATGTGTGTGTGTTGTGTACATTTGCTTAATTAAAAAGAAACATCGCAGCAGCAGCAGAAGCAGCTGGGCTTTTGACTATAAATATCACACATCCGCCGTGTGTCACTGCAGCTTTGAGGCTCAGCTCGTTGCAGAGGAGCTCCCAGGGCCTCCAGTTCCCTTTGCTCACTGCTCACTGCTCACTACTCGTCCCTCGTCGTTAGTTTAAAGTTCAGAGGAGACTGCGGAATGTACGTGGAGTTCACTCGGTACACAAACTCACCGGAGTTGTACGAGACCTTGTATTTGCGGAAGATCTGTTTCGGGAATTAAGCAAGCCAAATTAAAGCTGGTTAGTAAGGGGTTCGGGAAGGGTTTTTTGAAGGTAAAAAAGAGGAGAGGTGAGAGGAACAAAAAAACCAACCTTTGCCAGCAGTGTGTGCAACTCGATTTCGGCAAAGCGACGACCCACGCACATGCGACGCCCAAAGCCAAAGGGCAAACTCACAAACGGGTGAATTTTCTGGTTGGCATGGGGGCAACCAGCTGAAAATAAAAGGAATGTTGGTTAGAAACTGGGAAAAAATCCGTTTTACAGTGACCTTGAATGCAAAACATTTTTGTGCGGAAAATATTATTCGGTATCTTACTACACAATTCCTATATACTATAAATCCATATTACATTTTACTTTTATTGGAACAACGCTATAAAAGTTAATAAAGAGATGGACAGTAGAAATTGGAAATCCGTAATATTTTAAAGAACTGAGTATTTGCTAGTGAATTTTCCAGTTCTCTATGCTCTTTGTCTCACATTTCTTAGTGCTCAACTAAAGCGCTCTAACGATTTAAGGGGACATTTTTTTAATGGCTAGCTCACCTGCATCTGCCGCTGACTGTTTTAGCCAGCGCTCTGGCAAAAAGCGCTTGGGTTCTGGGAAATATGCGGGATCGTTTGAAACCACCAAATGGGGGAAGATAACGTGTGTCTGAAAGCAGGAGGAATGAAATTTAGATGACAGTCGAAAAGGTCAGTGTTTCGCAGAGACTTACGCCCTTGGGAACATGGTAGCCATTGATGACAGCGTCCGACTGAAGACTTCGCCCATTGGCAATCACCACGGGTCGCATGCTAAACGAGAAAAGGGTTTTTCCATTTAAAATTGACATCGAATCAATCATAGAGAGTGGTCTTCATACCGCAGAGTTTCCTTTACACAAGCTCGAAGATAGGGCATCTGCTCCAGGACATTTTGGTTGATCTCCGCCTCGCGATGGGGAAACACCTTTTGCAACTCATCGAAGAGTCGCTGCTGTTTGTCTGGGTTTTTGGCTAGTTGATAAATTGTGGAAGAGGCTGCTACAGAGGTCTAAAAAATAATATATTCATATAATTAATATTTTATATAGGAATGGTTATGTTATATTTAATCTTACCGTATCCACTCCCACCAAAAACAAATCCAGCGCCAAAATGGCAGCCAGCTTGCGATTGCCCGTCTTTCGCACTATTCTCTCCACAATAGATATATCCGCCTCCGATTTGGGCAAACCTTTAGCCTCGTCGGCATCGGCCTTGTCCATGGTCTTGCTGATATTCTTCATGCAAATTCTAGACAAGTAAATGATTTCATTGAATTATAATTTTCCTTATTTATATGAGTTTTTAATAAACTCACGCTGTGAACTGATCCAAAGCCTTGACGAAGCTTCTATATGCTTTTGTGGGATAAACACGCCACAGGGGCATTCGCAGCTCCAATTCGGGAACGGCCCAGAAAAATGTGTTTATGGCCTCGATAATCTGCTGAGCTTCTTCACTTCCCTCGGGCGACAAGCAACCCAATCTTGTGTCCAAGGAAACGCGGCCAACAGCTGGAATTGGTTTTAGATATGAAAGTATTTAAGGATAATGCTACACTTCATAAGCTTAGAAATTTAACATTTCAATTAGAGTTGTTTGGTTCATGCTAAACAAAGCAGAAGTGACATATTTAACAACTGTGAAATTCATTGTTTAAGCTTCCAATTTAGAGTTTAGTGATTTGTTAAAATATCGAGTCTTTTGCTGCCTTTTATTCATTCAAAGCTAACAAAAGTAAACAAAAAGTTTAGCTTTAATTAGCAAAACGAATTCAATCAAGCGTTTAAATAAATGTGTGTATCAAGTGGAAATTTAACTACCTCTTATTCAGTGTTTTTATGTTTACTCGTAAACCAAAGATAAAACCTTGAACTACACAAATACACTTGAAAAAGCATCGAGCAATTACTCTAATTAGTTTACAAATGTCACGGGGATATAAGCAGCAGCCTGAAGTAATTATAAACTAATTACGATGGCAGCATTTCAATAAATATTGCCAGAAAAGTGTCATAATTGCATAAGTAAAATCCAATTGCAACAACTCACATTCCAAGGCCCAATTGTAGAGCTCGTGCAGGAAATTGGCTGGCAGCTCGTCCTTTTCGTCGCGCATCAGCTCAATCCTGCAGATACAGATACAAAGTAGAAGTAGATGTAGATGTAAATGTGGATTGCATAACTTGCTGGTAAATTGGCTGGCTGCTTGGATGCTTTAGGCGCAGACTTACCGGCCCATAAACTCGCTGGCAATGTCGTTTAGCGGCGGAATGTACTTCTTGGCCGTCTGCGGCTGCAGCAGGATGTGCTGCACCTCCTGTCTGAAGGCCTCCCACTTGGGTCCGTGTCTGAAAAAATAAAAAAATGAGGGGAAAAAATAGGTAAGGTAATTGGGGTGGATGTGCACTCCGAATGCCCGCCATAATATCCGTTGCATAAGCACATTACTTACACGCCAATTAGGCCGGCCACATCGCCAAAGAAATCGCGTCGCAGGTCGCCCTTGTAGTGGCGCAGTGAGGGCATCGACGGCCTGGCTTCCACGATGGTAAAGAGCGGGTTTTGCACAAAAACACATTGAAGGGAGTACATGGAAAAAAAAGCCATTAGTACTTTGCCATTGAAAACGTTTTTTCATAGGTTTGTTTATAATTAGAAGCAACATAATCGCTTCAATAGGATAGAAACAGCTAAAATAAATTACTAGCAACTTTTTATAGATCTTCCGATAAATTGATAAATACCACAAAAAACTCTCCTTTTTTAACAAAATGTGTATACATTTATTCAGAATATAATTTAAAGTGCCACATCAATATCAAACTTAAAAAAAAAGCAACGTTTTACAGAAAAAATGTAAATAAATACATATATTCCTTTTAATAATGCATTTGATCTACAGTTTAAATGTGGCAAATTTTAACAAATTAATTTTTTAAGTTCCATTTGAATCCATTTAAATAGTAATAAAATTATTGCACCATAACCAACTTTGGTATATAAAAAGTACCTATAATTGTCTTAATTAAATGTCTGAAAGAAGTGCCACAAATCCCATATATATTTTAATACAGAAAAATCCTGAAAAAAGGGAAAATTGCCAGTTTTTTTTTATCCTGCACACACGTAAGCGTGTCGGTCTATAAAGCGGCTAACACGCCCACCTCCCGTAGGCCACCCCACCGCCCCTTTTGAGGTCGCTTGCCCTTGCGTGCAGACAGACCGGCGACGACAACATCAAACACAAATTCAAACCCAAGCCCACAGAAAATGAAGCCATTCCAGTCATTCGGTCGGTCTCCGTATCGTAGAACCCTTGATGTTCAGCAAGCTGGTATTTGCATTATATTTGTCTACTCGCATGTCACAGAACAAATAAAAGAAGCGTATTTATTGGCTTTTGTTTTATGCACCACCCTGGCCCACAACAACTTAGACATCCATTTTGCGCGTTTGACTTGACTGTTGTTTTCCACTTCGCATTGACATTGGGTTGCCCTAGGCAACAAAATGCCCAATTTAATGCGAAATTTAAGTGTAGATGTGTGAATCAGCTGGGTTTTAAAACGTCAAGAAGACCCACCCCTGAATGTCTATTAAATAAGAATATTCTCCATCGAATTATGCAAATTTAAGTACTAACCAGCAGTTGGAAGGAACGCAATAGTTTAAAAATAAGCAAACAAGAATGAAGTCATGATTGTAAGGCAGATGATATTAAGAAGAATTTTTATCGATTTTATTTCCCTATGGATTACATAGTCAATATTTACTTTCCATTTTGTGCTTCCATATTTAATTAGTAAAATTTACTTTTTGTATCAATGTTGCTAATAGTTTATAGTATGTTTATTCACCATCTTTTTTTTTGTTTTACCAATTCAAGACTTTGAATATAACAGCGAAAGATGGTAGAGAAAAGGCCTATTATAATCTGCATATTTTTACGCAAATCCGACGTGACGTCTTTGGCATATTAAGCATTTAACTGGGAATTCGAGGAAAACACTCTGTTGACAAGATAATAACTGAAAAGTTGACCCCAAGATTGTCACGATCGAAACTCTGGCCTGAAATCCCTCGCACACTTTTTCCGAGTTAGATATTCCCACACACGATTCGGCGTTTCTCTGTGAATTTTATGGGCCTCGTAAAAAGTCAACAAAGCCGACGCCTCTGGCGTACATGAATGTGTACACATCTCTTGGCCAAATATCTTCATCAATCAGTCGGTCAGTCAGTCAGTCAGTCATTCGGTCATTCAGTCATTTTACCATTTAGCCATTTAGATGGTGAGCAGTAGTTAGGTTCACACTTCTTCGCCGGCAGATGGTTCATTCATCAATCTGTCTGCCGGCCAGCGAACGAGCCAACATTACGTTAATGTTGTCTCATGTCCAATCTATTAGCGATTCTTTTCAGCCATTTTAATGATGACTTGCTAAATGTGCTGGCCAAACGCAAACAATGGAGTGTTTGGCTTTATCGCCGTCTGCGATTCGCATTCGCCATCGATCCGTTTTGTTGTCCATAAACTATATGTCTGAATAAACTATATAGCTATAGGAAACATAAGCGTAACTTGTTCAAATTGGTTCATGGCCACGGCAATGCTCGCAGAAATATCTGAATGATAGCGAAAGGCGGAGAAAAGAAAGCTTATAAAAGTTATGGACACGTTAGCGATCTGTGTGACTTTCGTTTTGTTTATTTGTTTTTGTTTTTTTTTTTTTTTTTTTTTTTTGGCTTCATCGCTTCGGTCACTTTTATTTATTTCTATGATGCAAAAACTCTTGTCGTTCGGCCTGCGTGAATCGTTTGTTTTGTTTTGTTTGGCTTGGTTTTATTTCGGTTGGATCTCGGGTTGCTAGGCCTACGGATTGGATGTCCGAATGCGAAGTGAAAGTCTCAACTAATTTCAATTTATGGATTATTGTTATCACGCGCAAAAAACGTCAATCTGCATGACATATTTTAAATAATTTTAATAGTGGAACAGGATATTATAAGTCCTTTACAATTCGGGCACTACTATTTATTTCAATAAATATGTATTCATATATATATTTTTGTATACATATGTTGCATTCAAAATTCCATAGAATAAAAAATAATTCATATTTAACCTCCCTTGAAATATTTTCACACTTCGTTTTTTTTCGATTCTGCCCTTTAGATTCCAATCTGTCACATATTTTCACACATTTTGTGTAATCCTCGTTCCCAAGCGCAATCGCCATTTTCTGCCTTCGCAGTTAATAATTTAATTACAGACTGCATTCATTCAATATGCGCATAAATAAACAGGAATTGCAATTGGATTGGGGGGAGAGAGAGGAGGTGGAAAAGGGGGTGGCTTGGAGTCACCCATGCATGACTGACTTTGCTACGGATATATATATTCTATATGTGTGTGGGCTTTTGCATGTACATGCGGTATTACTGGAAACTCAGACCCAGTGCAGCCATGCAGGACTTTACCATAATCTTGGGTTAACAACACAGTTAATGGTCTTGTTTAAACCTCCAAAAGAGGAAAAAATTAACATTTGATTGGTTTTGTTAAGTAATTTCTGGTCATGATGAGGTTTTTAAAAACTATAATAAATAAAAAACTAATAGATGGTTAAATATTTTGATGTATAAAATATATCCATTTTATGTAACTTCTACGTTCAACTTACAAAATCAAATATTCCCCTTCGAATTTGCAATTCTATAATACTATCCTTCTCGTATTATTGATTTCGGATTGTATGATCAAATCTTAGCCTCTCTTTTCACTAACTAAAGTCCCTTTTCCCACGATTTATAAACACGCGAAAGATAATCAATCATGTCGAACTGACAGGTCACACGAGTCGTATACGCAATTTTGCATTGCACCGAGATGCCAAAAGTTGATTAATCACTCACCGGTGTGGCATGGCCTCCTCCTTCTTGAATATGTTACGAATCTCGTCGCCGTCGAAGACGAACAGCAGGTCCGGATGGCCAATGAGACCACCCACCTTGGCCATCTTTCCATAGTTCACGTGCAGTTCATTCATGACCTTGTCCAGGTCGCTTATTTTATACGTTCCTGTTGGTGACACCCGGTTATTAGTTGTCCAGCGTCGCAGTTTCCCGGTTTGCCGGCTGCCAATGAGGACTCACCAATTAGCGGGGCAAAGCGCCAGGAGTTGCCAATCAGCGGCAAGGGATATGGACCCGGCACTTCCGAATAAGGACGCACTGCAGCCGGCGAAGCAGAAGTCGTGGCTTCCACCGCCGGTAATGCGGCTGTTCTAGTGCTTTTCTCCGCCGCTGCTGTCACGGCTTGTTGGCTGCCAATTAGTAGTAATTGCACACAGAGGAAAAGATTTACAAAAACATGATTTATAAAAAAAGTTTTGTACTTTTAAAGTTTAAATGGTTTTCAACTTCGAAGAAAGCAAAATATAACTGAAAACCATTTACCAACTAAAACTATGCAGAAATTATTTCCTTAAAAATCTAAGGCTTTATCTTAGGGGATTATTTTGAATTTAAAAACTAGTTTTTTTTCTGTGTAGATGGTGTGGGAAAATCACAAACCTGACATTTAATTTCTTCAGATATTCCGACTCTCCGGTTCGCAGGCGCTGCATTGCAATTGATTTTTCAATTTCCGTCGCCACGCCCACTCCGCTGCTGGGTGGCGACACCGCCACACCACCGCCCCCGGAATGCGGCAGAGTGGTGGTGCTGGAAGTGGAGCGCCTCATCAGCGCAATGGAGGTTTTGCGTAAGCCCGACATCTTCAGCTCGGAGGAGGAGAGTCCTGCGGGGAGGGGGAGGGGAAAAGTATTATGTAAAAAGTTTAGCAAGTTGAGCAATCTGCTGCCGGCGGCAAACTAAATTGTGTATTTATGCTGATTCCCCGAGTGCTTCCTTCTCCTCTCGCTCTGCGAAACTTTTGATGCATTTCCAAGTGGATTGCCCCGGCGAAATCAATCAATAAGAAATAAAGGCCACTTGCGTTTACTATTCACAAGCGATTCCCCATAGAATGCGTTGACTAAAGCGCTAAAAGGTGTTCGGTTGGAGTGCAAATATTGTGGCACACTCGCAAATCCATATTCGTATTCACTTTAACTTTCAGCGATGACAGCACTTAGTTTGAGTTCGAGTTCGACTTCGAGTTAGTTGCTAAACAAACCCGAGTAAACAATCGACGATTGTCCCTTGTCCTCGCATCTCAGATCTCAGATCTCGGGGGAGCACTTATAAAAAAAGTGGGGTTTGGGTGGCAGGGGGATTCCCATTTGTTGTCGGTGCGTTCCATTTTATGGCTGCTGCCAATAATCAAGCCGGAGTTAGCTAGCGTTAAATTGAGCACAACTACAGGCACTCGTAAAATGCGAATTCAAACAAAGAAAACTCAAGCTGAAGAGTTATTGAAGTGCCGCAACTGAGGGCCAAATCAACCCTGGCCAAGTCTAGTAAATTGTTCACCAAGTGAGGCCTCATACAAGCTTCGACTTTGAAGGGAACCGAACAAAACTCAATATGACTTGATAAAGGTTTTAAAACATGCGTAAACAACTTTTGCCTGTGCTCGAGAAACTTCCCAAGTGACTTACAATTCCTTTATTATGCAAACTAAAAGTTGGTCCCCAGTAGTTTAACCAAATTATTCGTATTTTAATTTATTAATGCACCTTTGTTTCTTTGACACAAGTTTTTAAATTAGAGAAGACTTAATTTGCTAAGTAACTGGGATTTAGAAAAACAAGCATGTTAACACATGTCAATTTTCTTTTTTATTAAATGGCAATTAATTTGTAAACCCGATTACTTTTCTTGACCTACATTTAAGCTATTTATTTTTAAAAGCTTGTTATAAATAGCCACTTCTAAATATATATTACATTGTTGTCAAAATGAGGGAAAAACTGAAAGGACTTGTCAATCAAATAACCGATTTCCCAAATTCCAAACGGTCAGAAAGTCAAAGTTTGACGTTGGTAACCTTTTCTTTTGACTCTGGTTTGGCTTAAATTTCCCCCCACTTTACCGACCAAATAGGAACTCTGTTTTGTGCCCCGAAAACTTCCGAACTTCCGAACTTGCCGGCACACACGCATTTAATACAAAAAGCATTCCCTTCCCGCGGGCACACAACAGAAAAAAAGCAAAACTGGCAACAAGGCAAGATTGCTCATACGCAGCGTATGCCGTCGAACAATGGCAACGGTGGCACTTTTGTGTGCCACTGATTCCCGACTTCTTCTTGTGCGCCTGCTCCCCGAGGGCAATATAATTTAAATGCCGAAAATTTGATGGAACAAAAATCTGCTCACCCGAAACCAGCGAAACTTTTGCTGCCACCCAATCTTTATTTTTTTTTGTTTTTTGCTTTTTCCCCTTCACCAAGCCCCTTTGCTTTTTGGCTTTTATTTCTTGTGTACACTCGTGTATTCACAATGGCAGCGGAGCGGCTTATCCTTGCCCTTGTCGCACAAGCGGCGACCTTGGGATCTCGAGCGGTAAAAGCAGCTACAACAACAACAAAACCAACTATCTGGGAATGCCAGAGCGGCTTTATCGCCAAGGCGGTTATAATGAACTTGAGTGATAATCCTAGCGCCTGCGAGTAATGTAGAAGAAATGTCAAGCAGCCACTTGTCGTTGGCTTTTATGGCCATTGTTCCCCAAATCGGTGGCAGTGGCAGCGAGACAGCTGCTCTTGCTCCCTGGGCCGCATTCGCGTTACACTCGAATGAATTCGCAATCGAAATCGAAAGGAATTCTATTAGCATTCGTCTGCTAAATGAGCAGAGGTAGTTGGTTCAAAAAAATCCCGGTCGATTATGTCACTGCGCTGACAGCTTGGCAAATCACTATGAAGTTTCTTATTGGTTTTCGACTCGCCCTTCGAGAGGTGTGGCCGAAAACCATATTCAAATTTGCTTTCACGCTAACGTATTGGCTAAGTCGTCGACTGCAACTAGTTTTAGCCAGCTTGACTAATTTTTCTGGGAAAATGCATCTCGGAAAACTCGCACTAACCACTTTAATTTATCTTTCATGCAGCTAATTTTTATTTCCTTCCGAAACTCAAATTGTCGGGAGGTGTTTTACTTTCTAATTGTTTGCTGATCTTTTATCTTTTTAACTTTTTGTTTTTGTTTATGGAATATTTGACATACACTTAAATTGCAATAAATTAAATATTCAATCTCACTTTGAGCGACATTTAATATGTTTTTAAAGATTTATGTGGCACCTCCTTGCTTTGCAATACCATCATTAAAAATAATTGTTTTTTCCAATACTTTTTAAAAGTAATTGCTTTTCAAAATCCAACTTGTGTACCTGATTTTTATTTTCAAAAATGGATGGTATTCAACTACTTTATATGCTGAAACTGTTTGCTTTCCCATAAAACTTAATTTGCACAGTTAAAATAAATTTAATTATCCACCTTGTTTGGTAAATGCCTTTACATCCGTTCAAGATTTATGTGACACCAGCACACCGTTAAACACCCCTATTAAATACTTGTTTTCCCGTCTTTTTCCGATACTTTTCCAATATAATTAAATTGGCCTTTCACGTTAAACGTTGATTTCTTTGACAGCCGAGTTGACTGAATGCTTTTCAAAGTGCAACTAGTTTGCCTGACACGCCCAAATTGACTCGGGAAAACCCCTCTCGGAAAAACTCACTCGAATGTTTGCTTTTATTATTTCGCCAAATCGGTTTTTTGCTTTTTTTCGGCCTGCCACGCCAGTTGGTTTGGTTTGCTTTTCAGATGAAGTTTCAATCAACTTGTTGCCGATTTAGTTTTAGTTTTAATTTACTTGCGGTCTTGCTGTTTTCCGAAAGATGTTCAACCCGTCGTTTGTTCACAATTAAAAACAGCTTTTTATGCCTTTGGTTGTGTGTGGATTTCTATTGTTTTCTTTTGGCCAATTTCCCACTCACGAGCACTCGAAACGGCGGAGATTCGCCAGGTCTTTTGTCACGCAACCCGAAACCGTCCGTAGGTTTATGTTAGCTCCACCGGATCCCAAACTCAAACTCAAACTCGAAACCAAATCCGAAACCGAAACCGAAACCGAGAGTTGTGGATGGAGCTGCCGAGTCTGGTGAGCTGTTGCCTCGTAGACCAACCGCAACGCACTAAACGCGATCGCCGGGCTTCTTAGTCTACTTATAGCTTATAGGCGCTATAGGCTATAGGCAACTGGCGATCGGCAAAACTTGTCGACTTTTGGCGCGCTTCTGTTGATTTTCTCACTTAAGGTATTTGTGCTAAGTGCCTGCCACAGCTGCTGCTAACTTTATTGCTCTTTTTGGCCCAGAAAGAAACGTCGGCTTCTGTTATAAATAACGTAATTTCGGGAAATGAAACCGAAAGTGTCTAATAATCCTAATCAAAAAGCAAAAGTTTGTGTTAATATGTAACGGTGTACTCCCTTGATTGACATTAATGAGGGGGCCTGACGAGCATTGGATGAGCTCTGCGATCTGAGGGTTATGTAAAATAAATAAATTATTATAAAACACTGCGGAGACTAACGACTCAATTGCTCGGCTAAATTGCACGCAAATCGCTTAATTGAAAAGGCCATAAAAGTGGGTAAAACAATAGTCAGAGGAGGCAGGCAAATAAATTTCGCACGATGGCCTCAGTGATCTTGGATAAGGTGGAAAAAAGGTGAATTAAGTTGGTCAAGTTGAAGTAAAAATAAATTACTTTTCCTTCTGTTTCTTTGTTAGTGTTTATACAATTTTAAAAGAGTTTAAATCGATTATAAAAACTCGGTAAGTGTACAACTCACTTTTAATATTTCTAACTAACAATACCAGCTGATAAATCCTTTTCTTTTATCAAATAAATTCATTTTTTTGCTTGTTAATTCCGCAATCACTCATTAAAAGGCTTTCACCATCTCTGTTCTATAAATAAAGCAAAGATAACTTTTCTATCCTAAGCTCACTTTCCCTGCCATTCGGCTGAACAAAGTTTATGATGATCTACTTTCAAGAAACCGCAACTAGCCACTTGCCACACATTGCAACACATTTTCCGGGGCCTACAAATTACAGCTGCATGTGTGTCTGCGGTTTCGGATCAGTAAACAGAAAAGAAAACTTTTATGATGGACATGTTAAATAAGATCTCGGCCTGCCAAGTGCTAACCAAGCGGTTGCCCAATCGAAGATCGGATCCGTTTGCGTTTGCCAGGCGGTCAATTAACGTGGGTCCAAGAAATCGTAACAAATATCGGGCATTAGCTTCAATTATGCAGTTTAGCCCACGACTAAACCAAACCAAACCGAACCAAACCTTTCTGCACGAAAGGCGGTGCGGTTGCGGTTGTGGCAGGCGAGCATGACTGCGACAATTTCCTTTTGGCCAACTGCAGAATTGGATGGTGGTGGCCCTCTCCGATTGCCTGCTAACTCGGCCCAGCTTGTTGTTGGGCAATTGTGCGTGTAATTTGGACGCAAAAGCAGTTGAGCAATGGCAGTAGATTTCAGCGCAAGAGCAAGTCAACCGAAGATTGATGCGATAACAAGCGCAGATTCCTCGCACAGCCTCAGAAACTATTTACGACCTGTCTTAACCCGGCCAGCAAATGAAATTAGCTGGCCAACAAGTCGCGAGCCCTTTAGTTTTTGAAGACATTGCGTGCCTGGCGTTAATTACGGCCCAAAACACACACACACACACACATCTACTGGCCACTTGGACACTCTGGTCTCCCACTTTGATGATGACCTACTTGTTGACGCTCTGGCACCCAAGCACGCAGACTCTGCTTCTGTATCTGTATCTGTATGTGTGAATCTCTATCTGTATCTGACAGATGCCTTTGCTGGCCTGACGGTTACATAAGCGGCAAATAAAACTAATTACAAATATACATGGCTTGCTTGCACGGAAATTGGAACCAGAATGGCTCACGGAAATGGAAATCATTTTCAATGGCTAGTTGCTGCAGAGGTTTTCTACATTCTAGAGGTTTGCATAGCCAAGCATGTGTGTGTGTGTGAGTGTGTGGGCCGGCTTTTCCCCCATTTCCCATTTTCCCTTTGGTCTCGACACGCGCGCAGGTTTTTTGTTTTTAATTGTTTGCTCAGCGCTTTGGTCTGCGCCCTAATTGTTTGCTCAAGACTTGTCAGATACGGGCGGAAAATTGAGACTGGATGGATGAATGGGCAAACATTTGTTGTCTGGTCAAGCGATGTGTGATGGGAAATGGAATTCTCTTGGCTACCGTTCCTGAACACTATTCTCCTTTGCTCTCTCTGCTTGCAGTTTCCTCGATGATTTGGATCGGTTAGGCGCCAAGGACTACCAGCCAACCGAACAGGATATCTTGCGTACTCGCGTCAAGACCACTGGCATCGTTGAGGTACACTTCTCCTTCAAAAACCTCAACTTTAAGTGAGTAATCTTGTCTTATAACTTAAAGACAATGTTTTAATCTTTGTAATTTCTAAACCTATAGATTGTTCGATGTGGGCGGTCAGCGTTCTGAACGTAAGAAATGGATACATTGCTTCGAAGATGTCACAGCGATCATTTTCTGCGTGGCCATGTCTGAATACGATCAGGTCTTGCATGAGGATGAAACTACGGTAGGTTTAACTATGAAAGAATTCCTATAATATATATAATATAATATTACATCCCATGCAATTATTGGTTTACAAAATAAGAAAAATGATCATAAAATTTTTTAAGTGAATCTTAAGCGTACATATCATAACAATAAAAACAGTCCTTAAATTTAATTAATTAAAAATGTAATCCGTTTAACCACATTTCATATTAAAATTTAAAACGAGACTAAAATACAATAAGCTTTGAATAGTGTTGATAATACTGAATAAAACATCTCTCAAATTTTAAAAATATTTTAACATTTAATAACAACTATTTAATTACTTTAAACCCTTTCAGAACCGCATGCAAGAGTCGCTGAAACTGTTCGACTCGATCTGTAACAACAAGTGGTTCACGGACACCTCGATCATTCTGTTCCTGAACAAGAAGGATCTGTTCGAGGAGAAGATCCGCAAGAGTCCCCTGACAATTTGCTTCCCCGAGTACACAGGTAAGTAAACTATTTGATCATGTAACTAGATTGTTTACTAATGCTATTTGTTTTCGATTCGTGTCCAGGTGGACAGGAGTACGGCGAGGCGGCTGCTTACATTCAGGCTCAATTTGAAGCGAAAAACAAATCAACCTCAAAAGAAATCTACTGCCACATGACGTGTGCCACAGATACCAACAACATTCAGTTTGTATTCGATGCTGTCACCGATGTCATCATAGCAAACAACCTGCGCGGCTGTGGACTGTACTAAGGAGGATTCCCAAGCCGAATCCCGATGATGATTATGACGATGTTGATGATGATAACGATGATGATGATGATGTGGAGCAGAATGGGGGCGTTAGCAGGGAACACCGTAACGGTATTAAAGAGCAGCGCGGGAGCACAACAACCCACCAGCATTGATCAAAAAACCAAACAATTTAAGAGCAGATGATAGAACCAACCAACCGCAACCACACACAAAAAACACACAGGACACTGGACACAGGACACTGAACACTGAACAAGCAAAGCCCAAAGAACCTTTATTTGTTTAACAAAAAAACGGCAAACGGACGGATGGACGGACGGACGGACGGAACGGAACGGTTATCCCGGATGGATGAGATATATGTGGGAAATAAGCGACAAGTACATTACATAATATCGATGATAATATTGATGCAGATAAATAATGCTAATGATGATCAGGGCGACAATGATAATGAGGCAGCGGGCAGCTGACAGCTGACACTAAAACACGCGAGAGAAGTCACATTTGCGAACAACAACAACATCAACAACAAAAACAAAAAGGCAGTTTGATTGAAAGGCATTTCCTATATACATACATATACAAACACATACATATGCATTATGCAAAGCCACATGTACGACATGACACTAACACACTCACACTCACACGACATACACAAGCGCCAGCATTGCATATAGTTGTTGTTTGGTCTGAATAATTTTTATAGAATTTCATAATTTATGTGTAGTTTAGTTTCCTCATGTATTTATTAAACAAAAACCAAACGAGCGTATATCTACATATACCGCATATATATATACATACACTTCTATACATATATATATATATATAAATATTATATATTAAATGTTTCCTGTTGCAATCTCTCTTTGAAATTATTCATGCCATCAACACTCTGCATTTGTCATGCTTGTTTAGACTTAAGTTCGAAAGTTTCAACAAAATCCAGCGGCAAAGGAAATAATAACATTAATTTGATTGCGTGTCAGCGTGTGGGCTAAAGTAAATATTATATAACAAACCAAAAAACCAAAACAAGTGAGGAAAAGAAAACACAAAATATGGAAGGCAAATCTTTAACGTTTAAGTCTAATTTAAAGATAAATGAAACGGATATAAAACTCTATCTATTGTATTTACAAGAACAAAAACGAAGCAAAACTAAACTAAAAATCTGAAAAAAGGACAAGTAAAGTAATGCATACGTGGCCACTTAACTAACTTATGTAAAGAGCAGCAGTCATCGATGATTGATTGATTGATACATTTCAGTGTAAATTGTAATTTGTTGAATTTACGTGTATAGAGGAAGTTTAGCTGGCAACACACACACAAAAAAACACACACGCACACACTGGACACAAACTAACTATAATTTAATTCACTTAATAAGCTGATTTGTTGTAATTTACAATGATTTGTGGCATTTATACGAGGAGCAAGGCAAATCAGCGATGATCAAAACATAATTCAACTTTGACGGCGCACAAAAGCATGCTATATATTTTTGCCATATCTACGCACACACCCACACAAAAGAAATGAATCAAAATGAAAATGAAAATGAATGGAACGCAGAACTCAAATCTCCCACAATGAAACTAAGGATTGTATGTAATAATATAATAATTTATAAATTCTACTTTTAATGATAAACATCTTCATACATGTACCTACATATGTGTATGTGACTGTATCTAGCGAATGGCATTTAACCCCGAGTATGTTGAATTGTTTGATTAGACTTATTATTATAATTATTATGTATATGCTTTGTATGTATGTATTTTGTGCATTTTGATTTTACACAACGATTTAGCTGCAATGAATTTATATTGTTATTTTTATAGTATTTCTTTTGTATCTGCCCAGTCTTCTCCTCCTCCTCCTACTTCTCCTCCTTAACTGGAAGTCCCCTCACTTGTGCTCTTGCTCTAGTTGGACGGAAAGCCATTTATGTTTTATAGTTTTTAAGCCTAATTTATGTAAACGCACACAAAACACAAACAACTTAAACATCAACTAAGTAAGTTTATTAGCGAAATAAATATTATTTGACATTCAACAAAAAGAAAGGACAATTTGCAAGAAGCTTAACGAAATCGTTTTGGTTTTTCAATGGAAGCCCCAGCAAATCCAGTGAAACTTTTCAAAAGTTGTGTTGGCCACAAAATCCGTACAATTCCTAGATTTTAAAAACACTGATCAGCGAACATTCACTTCTAAGCATTTACTTAGGTCAGCCAACACTTTCCCATTTCCATGACCCCCCACCCATCCCCTCTTCTATATCCTGGCCCAACCAAATACTGTAATATTTAATACGTATGTATTTTCCATTCAACTTGTAAAATTCAACCAAAAAGAAAAAAACAAAAACGCAAAAACCATTTTCAAATAAAACTATTTATTCAAAAACAAAAACCAACAGCCATTTTGTTATTTTCGTTATTGTTTCATGATTTTCTTACAGCCAGAAAAAGGTTTTGCATGAAATAGATTACATTGTTGCTGCTGGCTTCGAAATTTGGGTAAAAAAAACCAGCAGATGATCAGTATATAGTCACTTGACCAGTAATGCAGAAGATCAAGAACAAAGAGTTCAATAATTGTATGTAACTATAAATAAATACCAAATCGATATATTTATTGACAATTTAATTAAGCCACAAACAACAAAGTTATTCATTTACCTTCGTGACAAAGTAAACAAGGTCGGTCTATATATACAGATATATAAATTTAAATAAATATATTTAGTAAAGGGAGATCAACAAATTGCTACATACATACATACATATGTACTATATTTTTCTCGTAAATAATTATTAATCGAATACTCATACGGTAGCGACTTTAATTTTCCTCCTCAACGTCGCTCAACTTTTTGAATCAACCGAGATCGCAAAACTAAATAAATAAAAGAAAACAGCATTCATGTAATAGCAACATTCGTTCATATAGTACAGCATAGTGTTAACCGCAGTATATCGACTAAACTTTTTGCATATTTTCAATACTAAACGGAATAGAGTGGATCGGAAATGGAATCAAACATAATTCATATTTTTCTAAAGCTCATACACCTCTTTGCTCCACACACCCACATAAATCATTAAAACGCAAGCCGCACCACTACTAAAATTACTTTAATAGCAGTTAAAACATTTAAAAGTGAAATCCATAAAGAGCTAACAAAGGTAATGTTAATTAATTCGAATCAAATGTCGCAGGACATTCAGACACACGATTTTTTGTATGTGGCGAAAAACAAATATTTGGGATTTAAGAGGAGCTGGAGGAAAGACAGGACGGTGGCACGTGGAACAAAGATTATAGGTTAGACGAAGTTTAGACACTGTATCTAATCTTATTTGTAGCCTAATTCAAAATGCTTTGGTTGTCCCATGTAGCAGATCAGATTTGTTTAACTTGTATATGGCAAACTATTTATATACTTATAATAACGTATGTGGAAATATAATTCTCCTCAATTCTTGAGCTCCTTTTCTCTCTCTATTGACCCACGTGGATAATGTGTAGCTAATGGCCCATGGAAAAGTTTTAAATTGAGATTGAAGCGAGCCACAGAATTTAACTAAGCTCGAAAATGATGAATGAATTTGAATCGTTGAATTAAAAATTTAAAATAATATATAAAACATAAAGTAATGATATAAAAACTGAAATAACAAAACCAAAATGTTTGTATGTAAAAGAAACTCAAAACGTTAGAGATCATCTACAATTTAAATAAATATAAATAAAACCAAAACATGTCTCATGTTTTTATTCCCAAAGGCATACCAATCCTCGTTTTAATCGAAATATGATTGATACCTTACGGAGGGTACTATAATTTCAATTTATTTTTTGAACTGTTTTTTCCAAATGTTCAAAACTTTTATTTTTTCATTAGATTAAACGGATTAAAATATCTAAATCATATAGCTGACATAAAAAGAATCGGTAAAATTATGGAAACATAAATAAAAAATCTTTATTACTTCGATATTGATGATTTTGTCTAAAAAATACAGCAGACATTATATCAATCTGCTGTATTTTTTATGAAGACACTTTTTGGAGTTGACTCATCCAAGATGAGGGACATGCGTGTTTTAACCTACGAACAGGTAAAACCTACCCACTTCAAAAATGTTTTCTTTTCTGGGTACAGTAGCGCACTTCTGTCATATAACTTATTAAATGACAGGTAGGCAAGTATCTTGGAAGACAGCGACAGATCAAAGATTGGCAACTGTACCATTCTCGCACTTACGATTGTCCTCTATGCTACCGGAACTCAAAAGAGTATTGTTACCATAGATATTTCAGTACAGTCGGGCACTTTTAGATAAAGTACCGATTTCAAATTTTTATTAGAACCGGAGGTAAAACAATTTTTTTTAAACCTTGTCTCATGTTTTATTTTGGAATTTTGATGATACTCTTTTTCACAAATTATATGGGGTAACCCCAATTTGGCCTAAAACCGTATTCGGTTTTAGGAATTCCCCTTGTATAAATCTGTAAGACTAATCTATTGCAATGCCTACTCTAAAAGTTTCTTTTTCGACTTCGGCGTGGAAATGGTTCGCAAGGAAACACGCCGTGGCGTCTTGTTGGTGGGCGTGGATGGCGTTGGTTCCGCAGCCTTGATTGGGGTTCCCTCCTGCGTGTCCTCGTAGACCAGGCGAATGTCCTCCGTTCGCTCACAAGTGACCTCGCTTGCGGCGATAACCGCAGCCTGTTTCGTTTCCGTCTTCTTGACCTCCGGCAGAGGCTCTTGTGAATCCTTTTTTGTTGTTGGCAGGGGTGTAATGCCCTCCTCGAGGGGCCAGGCATCCATGGCCTCTTCCATTGGCACCACAGGCGAGTTGACGGGCATTTCGACGAGTACGCGGGGAGTTCGCCTAACGGCAATCGGAGTGGCTTGTTTGGCGGGTTGGCTTTTCGGCGTTAGATTGAAGGAGCTGGAGCTTCCAGGAGTCCTGGGCTGGCGACGCACTTGGATAGGCGTGGCGGGTCGAGACTTCTTCTCCGGCGACTCAAACTTCTCATCCGAACTAATGATTTCCTTGCCGATGCCGGGAATCAACACAATTGCAGGCTGTGATGTCTCTGTTGGAGGCACTGCCTCAGTACTGATCTTTCGCTTTACAGGGGATGCCATGACGTCTGACTTCTCTACTTTAGGAGTTTCTGAAGATGTAACTTCAGCATCACTTTTAGCCTTGGATGACTTGTTTTCTTCACTCTCTTCTGGCTTACGCGGCGCTCTACGTATAGCAATCGGCATTGGCGTGGTCGTAACCTTAGGAGTTTCTGAAGATGTAACTTCAGCATCACTTTTAGCCTTGGATGACTTGCTTTCTTCACTCTCTTCTGGCTTACGCGGGGCTCTGCGAATAGCAATCGGCATTGGCGTGGTCGTAACTTTACGGGGCGAACGTCGGAAGGCAATTGGTGTGGGCTTGACCTCCTCCTTTGGCTTCGATTTGGGACTGTTGGAGTTGGACGAACTGGCACTGTGCATGGAGGAATCGTTCTCGGCATCCAAATCGGTCTCGCCCTCCTCTTTAATTCCATTTCCTGCAGCCTTCGCATTTGTATTAGGTTTGGTCTTCTCCTGCAGAGGTTTCCTTGTAGCTACAATCTCATCCGAAGATGCTTTGCGAAGCTTGTTCTTTTTTTTCTTGGGCAGCGGCACGTTCTCCGAATATTTTAGGGCAGCGCTCAGCACTGCATCCATTTCCTCGTAGCGTTCGCCCAGTTCATTTGGTTCGAAGGTCAGCAAGGAGCAAAAGCCATCGGTACTAGACACGATCAGAACAGTTCCGTCACTGGACCAAGTTAGATCGGTAAGCCTGGAGTAGTGAATGTTCGATACAATGGCAAACGGTACAGACTGCTGAGTATCGTAAAAGAAAACCGAGTTCTTTGTAGCCACAGCATAGATCATTCGGTACGGCAGCTTGATAATTGGCGGGTTCTTCTCCGCATTGTACGGTCTCAGACGGTACAGAACCGGAGAGCAGCGAACGGCCACCGCATATTCGTTGGGAAAAGGCAGTACGAAGGCGGGTTTGGACAGATCATAGCGACTGAACCCGTAGGTGGTGTTTATGGGCTTCACCACACCGTCGTAGTCGGTGATTCCCGCGGGCGTAAGGAGCAGCTTGCCATCGGGAGTGAAGCACAAACGTCGAAAGAAGGTCGGTAAGGTGCCATCATGGTAGAGCCGTATACTCTTGCCGTCCATCTCGTGACCTTCCTTGACCGGGAAACCGCATTTGCTAACCCGGTGGAGCACTCGCTTGGTATTCGCATCAAATATGCGCATTTGCCTAAAAGAAAATTAAATTAATTTAGTTATTGGAAAAACTTTGGATAGGTTATAGCTCAAGAAAATTATTTGGTTAATTCTGTTCTGCCTACCTGTCGGTGCTCATGGTCGCGATGTACTGATTGCAGGGATCCCAGGCCACGCCCTGTACATAACCCTTATGGTCGTCGAGAATGACCAGCGACTTGCCCTTGTGGACGTCCCACAACATTGCGGTGTTGTCAACGGATCCGGTGACTAGAAACATTGAGTTGGGTGCCCAGCTGAGGTCGTAGATATCCTCGCGATGTCCGCGCAGTACTTTCAGGGTCATCCAGACCTCCTTGTCTTGCTCGCTGCATCCGTCAGCGTCCACAATATTAATCACTTCGTGGTCGGCCTTCTGTTTCCAGATGAACACGACACTTTCATCATCGCCGGAGGCCAGGAGTTCGCCATTTGGTGACCATCTGACTGTGTTGACGGCGCGTTGATGGCGGGAGAGATCGGCAGCCAGGTCCAAATTCACGCCCTCGGCATCATCCCCACGGTTCACGTACCAAATGAGGACATGGGCATCGGTGCCACCGGAGGCCAGTCGACACATCGCCGGCGAACGTAGTCCCTGCCCATTTTGCTGAATGTCCACACTCAGAACGGGATCGCGGTTGTGCCACGAGATTTCTGGTATCTTGCACTTCATGCTGTTTACTTAATTGGCCTTTATTGAGTGCGAAAAATGTTTTTATGCGGCAGATTTCGCGCCCAAAAGTGTGACCAATGGTCAACAGAATACCAAAAGTGATATCGATTTAAATTATCGATATGCAGAGCCACAGGATGTGATAAGCCAGGGCTGCACTCACACTTTGAAAATGGTAAACAAAAGTTTGTTTTTCTGGTTTTTCCGGGTTTTAATTGATTTTGCTTTGCTTTTTACAGTCCGTAACGCTTCATACCGACGTGGGTGACCTCAAAATAGAGCTGTTCTGCGATGCCTGCCCAAAAGCCTGCGAGAATTTCCTGGCCTTGTGCGCCAGCGATTATTACAGTGGCTGCGTCTTCATCCGGAACATAAAAGGGTTTATTGTCCAAACTGGGGATCCTACCAACACAGGAAAGAATGGACAGTCCATTTGGGGACAGAAATTTGACGATGAGTTCAAGGAAACCATTAAGGTGAGTTGGTCGAGGGCAGAATAGCGCAAAAATAATATTCATTTTAGCCATGCCGGCTGACTGTAATACCCTGTATAATTAAAGGCTTTGGGTATATTGAATTTCACGTAACGCGGAGCTAATTTGGTTATACTTTTCATTAGTAAAAATGTTTTGAATACAACATTTTTTTTGGTATATCCTTTACTGAATTACATATTAGGATTAAAACAAAAAATTTTCCTGACCTCTCAAATTTTCCTTTCTTATTCCTTTAGCATACGGATCGTGGAATGGTCTCGATGGCAAATAATGGTCCCAATGCCAATGCCAGCCAGTTCTTCATCACATACGCCGCCCAACCAAATTTGGACTTAAAGTACACGCTCTTTGGACGTGTCATTGATGGCTTTGATGCCCTAGATGAGCTGGAAAAACTGCCCGTCAACCCCAAGAACTACCGTCCCCATGTGGACAAGAAGATCAACGGCGTGACCATACATGCCAATCCCTTGGCGACGTGATAGAGTACACAAACTTCCAATCATATGCTTAAACTGAAATATATTTATAGCACTTAAGCTTACACGATTTCTTCGATTACAAACTAATTGATTGAGAAGCATCAAATATTGTGCAAAAGTACCTAATGACTAAATCTTAAAATCAGCCAAGTCACAATTGTTTATAAAAAATTGCATTGTTTATGTGTATAACTCTCGACGACTTTTGCACTTAATTTGGAACTTACACTAGACGGATGTATCAGATGTGTTTAAAACGATCAACTAGGAAAGGTTAAAACAAATGCTAACAAGAATCTCGACTACTTGGACTAAGTGGATTATGTGGAGGCGCCGTTTGTGAGTTTTTTGGCGGGCTTCGGATGGTCCTTCATATGCTGCTCAAACATGCTGCGAATGTCGGCCAAAGCCTGCGATATGTTCTGCGCGAAGCGATGCACATCCTGCATTGGAAATAGGATTAGTTATAGATTTGTTTATGTAGAAATATATAGTTAGACCCTACCGTTTGCTGGCACGTGGTCTTCGCTGAGATATGGAAGAATATTAGATTCTCTCCGGCAATGATGTACGAAACACCATAGCCATCATCGGCCACGGGACCAAAGCCGCCGCCGGCGCTGATGCAATTGGGATGCTTCTTCAGGTCCATCTTCGGCGTTTGGCCATGGGGAGTCTGACTAGTGGACAGGCGCCAGGGCTCGCTGAGCACCTCGTTGAGGAAGGGAGAGTCAACCTCCAGGTACTTGGATACAACGTACAGGCAGAACAAGTGCCTGTCGATTCCACGTCCGCACATGGCATCCTGGTAGCCCAGTTGATGCCGTTCGCAGGCCTCCTGAAGCAGCTTCACCCGCTCATCGTTCTGTTTAGTAAAATATTAAAGATTAGATAAAGATCCTGTTACGATGTACACTAAAATCTCACAGTTGTACTGGGATTCTGCATGGCCTTGACCCAGGCAGACGACTCAATGGTGCAGGGACGCACTGTCTCAGTTCTTCCTTCGCGGAAAAGACGGGTCATCGAAGCCTCGTAGGTCAGCGAGAAGCGGCCGGCATCACGATAATAGGCCAACTGCAGGGCCATTTGGATGTAGGCATCGGGCGAGATTCGACACTTCTTCATGAAGCCCTTGCCGTACTCCTGGTGCACCAGAATGCGCAGATTGACCTCGTTGATCAGCTTGGTCACATCGATGGTGGCCTCCTCGATCTGCGGCAGACATGGCTTGAGATCCCACGCAAGGCGAGTGGGTGTAGGTGGCTGGAACTCAGGTGTGCCCTTGGTGTTACCAGTTTCATCATATCTAAAGGTTTCCAAGAAATAGGTTAGCATTTTCATTCACAAAGCGCAATATTAGTTTTACAAGCAACGATAACCAAAGATTTTTGTTAATTTTGTGTAATAGTTGTTAGTCACGAAAGCCAAATAAAATAAATGTTTGTTTTTTTTTTTGGTTGATTAGCTTTGGATATACAGTAAATAAAAGTGAAGGGAGAAAAAAAGAATAAATTATAATATGTTTGGGTCTAACCATTAAGATCACCATTTATATATTTTAATCTAAGCAATTTTTCAGGTAGAGAATGCGCTTTTCTGATTTTGGACTTTGTTAAATTTTTGCTAGCTCCTTGCAACTAATATTTACTGTATCGCAAGATCGTTTAAGCTTTTAACGCTTAGAGACTCTCGTGCTCGAGCCAAAATGACTTGAATTGCTTTGTTTAGTGCTTGTGTGTGCTTTGGAACTAAGTGTTTACCCATAAATATCATCACCAAATATATACTCCCATAGATGTCCCAAAACCGGTGCATCGGCCCTATAAAGAAGGTGTAAATGGTGTAAATCAATTGTTAGGCCACAACCGGAGTTAATAAAAATAATAATAATAAAATTGGTACAATGGGTGATAACTGAATGCAGCCAACCGAAACCGACAAATTGCAGGCGGGCAAAGGAATTGGAAGTCATTACCCATCCGATACAAGATCATCGACGATCAGGTTCTCCCACATGTGTGAGGCGATGGCGGCGTCAGACCTTTTAATTTGTGATTTTACAAATTGATTCAGATAGTTAAGAATATGGCAAATCGGGAAACATTTTTGGAGGCTGAAAGGAATAGTTGGGGGAAGCGATTGGCGATCACTTACCAGGTGTGCTCGGCGTTGAAGCCAACGCGTCCGTTGGTGCCCACACAGACGGTGAAGCACTTGTCGAACCAGCGGTTGTAGCCATTGCCGTGGAGCAGCTTCTTGCCAAAGTTGTCCAGCAGCTCCGGTTTGGCCAGATCGAACTCGAAGGGCTCATCGTCCAGGGAGAGTACAAAGGCTGCAGACTCGATGGTTCGCAGGGAGACATGATTAACGCCCCATGAGAAGAACGTGTTGCGCGCCTCCGCCCATTTGGATCGGTTCCAGGCGGTCAGGGCAGCCAAGTGCTCCTCCCCTTCCACGGGTGTAGCCTTTCCCTTCAGGATTTCCTCAATTTGCCTGCATAATAAATTATACTTAATACAATTACTGGAAGGTTCGTGGCCAAATAACACTTACACTTGCAGCTCGCAAGGACGCAGGATGCGGCCCTTGTAATAGATGGGCATCTTGTAGTAGCAGCCTTTGTGGAGAACCACAATGTGGTTCGAGTCCCTGTAGTGGATAATACGATCGGTTTCCAGGCCGGGCACACGTGCGGTGTTGAAGGTACGCTCGTATTGCCACGAGCACAGAGGAATCATGCCCTGGACCATGATCTGGAATGCAATTATAAATTTCATTAGTAAAACATTAAAATATTAAAAACAGATAACATAATATCAATTGATATTCTGTGATTTAATTATCAATATATATCAGTTTTTTTAAAGAGTGAATGAGAGGTTAATGAGGTATTTTTAGATGCCTAGCAGATAATTTTAGAACTGGCAATAAAATTTGATTCAGAACAAAACAAAACGGGTTTTACGAATTGCTCATAAATGTCTAAATTATGGCGTTAGAAACTTCATGACCTTAGCTTATCCGCGTAACACTCGTAAAATTTCTAGTAAATATTAGTTAAAGTTTATGGCTACTTAAAGCAAACAGTCTAACATAGGATTCTAAATTAAGAGTTTGACATGAATGATAATATTAAACTTACGGGCTGCAGTTCCTGGTGCTCGATCAATCGACGGAAGTTCAACAACAGAGAGATCACATTGGCCGCTCGTGCAGCCTGTTTGTCGGTGAGGTTCATGAAGATGGCATCCGTGCCATAGAAGTTGCTGTTCACGCACAGTGGACTGCGACCACGCAGATAGACGTACTCCTCCCACCAATCCGACACGTAGTTGGTGGACCACCAGCTCTTGAGGATGAGGTACCATTGCAGCTTTTTGCCGATGGTCTGCTCGAACTCCTTGGCCAGTCGCTCCATTCGCGTGTAGTTATCATCATCCAGCAGGGGACGAACGCTTCTCAGGTACCGTGTCATCGTGTCCTTAACAGAGGGCAGTGGCAAGCGAGGCAGAGATCCCTGGAAGCTGTACAGACCAGGCTTGTTCCAGCTGGAGAGCACTCGCACCACAGCCACCCACAACATGGTGGGCAGTGAGACACGACTCCCGGGAGCTCTGGACTCGTACATCCAGCCCTTGTACATGAGCAGCAACTTGAGGGTGTACCTCATGGTGAAGCAGATGGAGAGCCACACCACCAATGCAGACAAAAAGCAGGCAGCAATCTGCCAGTTAATTGTGTTGGAACTCATGTGAACCAGTATCCGATTGGTCAGATCGAATGGAGCCTGATACCCTGCAAAATGTAGCCCCATTGCGATGGCCGTGATCAGCCAAAGACTCTGAATGTGGGCCGGATAAACGCCATTGCGCACACCATTCTGTAAGAAGCAAAGCAATTCAGTTAGTTTTCTTTTTATTTGGATTACAATCTGTGATTTGGACTTACCCTAGCGCGTGCCAAACGCTTTTTCCACGAGCGAACTCCTGAGTTCCACACCAAATTGAGCACCTCGTGGTCATAGTTGATGTCGAAGCCCTCGTGGGTGATGGCAAATGAGAATGCCACGGCGGCATGGGCTTCAGCCATACCTGCAGGCTACTAGTTATATCCGACGTACAAGAAAAATACTGAAAAACAAGATTAACGTTATTAAATTATAACCGTTTTGTTAGATATAAAATGTAAATTATTGAGAAAAAAGGTTTCAAACGTAAAAGTTAAACAGTTTAATTTACAACCTCATAAAAGGGAAATCAAAAAACATCAATTAAAATCCACTCGAATCTTAATCTAAATTAAAATATTTTTTAATCCTCAACTAAGGTGAATGCCCACAAAAACAAAGTGTAAAACCCGATAAGTTGCTGCTTTGTGGACTAAAAGAATCGTAATAACGTCTCACTGATAAGATGCAATGGAAATTGCCAGACAAGCCAAAGCATGTGATTCATAAAAAATATCTTAGTAAGTTAGACCCTCGAAATTGACCTAAAATGCGTTTTAGATTTTAGACACTTCACATTTGTGTATCTGTTTTATGAAGTGTTTTGTTTGGAGCAATGCCAGTCCGAAGTTCAACGAAATACCGCACGCTTCGGATTCGTTTCATATAAATTAATTAATACACACCGCACAGTACTCGATGTCATAACACTTTACATGCAATTGATTGACGTCACTGAGCGCGGTTTTGTTCAGCTGGGGTTATCATCAGCGGACTAACGATGGAGTCCGTCTGAGATTCTAGGTCTAGGCAGCAATCCATCGAGCAGCTGGCACTATATTCTAGAAGAACTCTCAGTGGCAAATGAAAATCAAAGTTCAGCGGAGCCTTTTTCATTTCTCGTGGAGAAAATAATTGTTTTGATAAATAAGTGGCGGGCTTCCCCGAGCAGCTGCAATTCTATACCTTCGCAGCTATTCAATTTGCAATAAAATTGCACAACTATTTGAAAGCTATAGTGACTTCGTTTGATTGGCTACTCAGCGTTTATACTCAGCTTTGGAACTCTGCATACTACTGCATATACATATGCATGCATGTTTATTTTTATACATCTATTTATAAAGCGAATAAAGTTCCTCAGATAGCAGGCCCAAAATGACACTCCGCGTTTTGAAAGTTTAGATAGACTCTAGACCAGATAAACCTTGAGTCGAAGTAAACACCTTGGTGAAGGTCAGTGCATCGGTTCGGATATCTATTGTCCATAAACATATTAGTAAACCAGAAAGACCACACTGGCTCCAACTCGAAATAGCCACAACAAGATACGAAAGATACGAATTCATTTTCGTTTGACCCAGTTTGAGGCGACGACTATGCGGCGTATGCTTAATAATTTGAACGCTGACCACTACCGGCATTTATTTGTTTGCGTATCAGCGAGGAAAACAACAACAACCCACTCTACCGAATAGTATGGGCAACAATAAAAGAAATAGAAATATGAGCAAATTGTTGTCTTTTTTTTTATAAAATCTTTTTCGCTGGGCACGAGGGTACAAAGTCCACGAATTATTTTTTTCCACAGTCTGCACGACCGTGTGATCTCTTCCTATACGCGATCTAAAGCGTTAATAATATTGCATACAATTTAAATTGTTGTGTGTGTGTTTCTAGATCGAGTGGGCCCGACCTTGTGCTTATATGAGTGTGTTTACTAGCGAGGGAGGCGGGTCCTATGCCGGGTTTTATGTAACCACTAAAAATTCCCCTCGCCAGCTGATAACATTTATGTGAGACTTTTCAACTATCAAAAACATGTGCCAGTATTTGGGTCACAGAAGCGGGACCGAGATAAACACAAGGAAAAAGATCCGAAAGGTGGCTACGTAAGCCGCAAAAATGCAACCTTTGCAGAACTTATTTATTTATTCGTTGTTTACGCTTTTCCGACCTTCAGCGGGGTAAAAAATAAATAGAGAACACAAACAAACCTTCTCGGCGAATTTAAATAATTCGGAATAGACTGTTTCCTGATTCACGTTGTTTTAATTGCACTTCGGTGTGTAGAATTGGTATTTATAAACTCTGGGGGAAACGACGATTGCAAAATCCTAGGCGAGATGCACACACGAGATATTTTACTGAACTTTTTCTTTGGATCCGCTCTTTATAAAGCGACTTGATCGGTTGGACGCCGAGCGTTGAATGAACCGACTGTGAGCACAACGGGTTTGCTTGGGTCTTTTAAAAGCACTCGGATCGGAGCGCAGAGATATTATTGTCGATGTGCTTTTCTGCCACATGGATGCGTCACAAGTCGAGGGGCTGGTGGCTCCGAGAGTGGAAAAGGGGAGTAGGTGCCTTGTCGAGTGTGTTGACCGGCGATATTCGGCGAATATACTTGCCATCTCCGCCCACCCTTTTCAGATCGATAGGGCCTTATCTCACTGCCATGGTGAAATGGATATCTCATGGGGTCCAATAAAACATTTAATATATAATGGTTGCACTCATCATCTGAAGGGGTATACTCAGTTAGTCTTGTCTTCAGCTCTTGAAAATGTGTTTTCAACTTGGCTAGACAAATTTCTGAGAAACTAGGTGCAATATCAGGTGAGCTTAAAAAAGATCTATGCGATCATAGTCAACTCCTTTTTATTAGTTTTTATCCTGTATCCTTCAAAAGGTTTAATAAATCTTAAGCGTATGCATAATGCTGGGTAACATACAAAATCAATATAGCAATGTCAAATACAAGTTTGTTTGTATTTATAGGCTAGATAAAACGAATTTCAAGTCTAAAGTGCATGATAAATTTAAAGACATTAGGTTTTTTATCTTTAAAAAAAAACCACCCACAAAGTGATTATCTAACGGCACGTTTTTGTGATATCATAACCCAGTATCGTAAAGATAAAGTCATGAATGAGCTTTAAATTCGGCACTGGGACTTTGACCTTACCGCAGATAGAAATGTATCTACATTCGTAAACAACTTCAAATCTGAAGATTCGCTCTCCACACCTGTTCTTATCGCTGTTACACGGAAAGTCAGCTTGTTTACTTGATAAACTAGCTGAAAAACAAGTCTTACTTGATTTGACTCTACAATCGAAAACTGACCAATGAAACAGACCCAGATAAGCGACAACAAACTTAACCGATAAACCCTATCGCCCACTATTAATAGTTGAAAGTCCACTAATAACAGTGGCGGGGGGCCTGTGTGAAATTTAGTAGTACGCAATTTCGCGGAATCGATAAGTTTGCCGGAGCACGCGGTTCAGATAAGAGGAATATAAAGGGTATCAGAATGCAATCAGTGACGCTTTGAAAGCGTCTACTTGGCATACAAATCACCCTCTTATCGGTTATCTGGGATCTTAGTACATCTACCCAAAAGAAAGTCTAAGCAAATCGTATAATTTAATCTGAAATTTTAAGTGAGATGTGTTGCTTCTAGTTGTGGTGGTATCTGTATCTTGAGTTTGGACTTTGAACCGCAGCAAACTTGAAATGTGCGACGGCTACCGCCGACTGAAAGAAAAATAACAACCAAGGCAGCGACGCATGTCTAACGAGAGCGAGACGATCGAGGTGGGTCTCTTGAGGGGCGGTACAAAGGCGCTGGGAACCAGTTGTGCCCTGGGATCCGACCCCCTCGCAAATCATTCACAGCTGCCAGCGAAGCAAGCGAAACGAATATGAATAAAAACAAGTAGGGTATCTTGCAGCTACTCGACTTTGAGGTACCCGGTACTTTAAAAGTTCTCCGAACTACAATTTTACATAATTGAAAACTATTCTGGAGTATCTACTTAAACCCGTAACCTGTTTCGTGTTAAGGATGGTCTAGACTAGCGTCAATTTTTTACAAGCGTTATCTTTCAAATACTTAACTTCAAGTAACCCTGAATTTTCAGTGTGTGGATTAAAAGTTCCCCGTTAACTGTTGTCATTCGATTCTATTTATAAATTGATATTTACATTGTTAAAGACAACTATTATTAAGTACCTACTTCACCGCGTAACCTACTTTGAGTTAGGCATGGTCGTTAGTGGTGTGAAATCCCTATAACATTTACTTATTGTGTTTTATAAGTAATATTTCTCAAAAAATTAACATTTATTGCCTTTTTTAATACGATTGTAAAACACTATACACCCCCTTGTTCAGCCTAATGGGTATGAACGGTGGGTATGAAAAGTAAACCCTCAATGGAGGAGGTCAATAGCTAATGGTTTTGCTACTTTCCATAGTAGTTAACTCATGGATTCTGGGTTTATTATATTGACTTTTTGTTAAGTTGGCTAAGCTTTTCTTTCATTTTCCTTTCGCTGAGAGAGAGAGAGTGAAAAATAAAGAGGCAAAGACGAAGAGACAGAGTGCTGCACCTGCTTTGCTTTTGTGTGGGTGTCTGTTTTGTGTTTGTTTTACAGATGTTTACCAGCAAAGCTCTCTCTCTCTCAATTTTTTTTCTCCTCCCACTCAAGACGAAGAAGAGGGGGCTAGCAAAAGAGAGCGAGACAGATTTCCCCGTTAAGCCTCTCCGTAAACTTGTTTCGGACTTTGAACCGCTTCGATTAAAGCGTGTTTTGAAAAACACAAAACAACAACTACGTATGGCAAGTAAAAAAATTAAAACAAACAAGCAGCAACCAGGCAGCTAGAGACTCGTCAAGAGTTTTGTAATAAATACATTACTATTTGTTTTAGTGTCCATTTCGGGCAACAAGTTTTCATAAGATTTGTGACCTAATTATTGCTGAACAGGTTAGAGTTTTTCTTATTCAGCTTTTGGGGCGGGGGCGTTAAATGGGCGGGGCGGTGAGAGTTTCTGGTTTGTGGGGCAACGCAATTTTTACAGATTAATTTCCCTAAACTTACTTCTTTTTTGAAAATGCAATACTTTAAACGCAGTATCCTCTTTTAAATTAAATTGCAAAACAGACGAAACAAAAAAGAGCGCACAGGAAAAATAACAATAATAACACAAAATGAAGGACGACGGCGGACGACGAAAAAAGCAAAGACGCGCGCGCAATGTTGTAAGCGAAGTGATGGCGAAAGAGAGACTAAAACTGCGCCTGAGAAGCAAAAGCGAAACGGAAGCAGCGGCCAAAGAAGAGCAACCACAATTCCCACCATATGATCGGGCCAGAAACAACAACCACAGCGTTCCAGTGGTGGTGCCTAAACAACTTTCAAAAGGGTTAAACTTTTACACAGGTAAATTATTTTGTAAAAAGCTATTTTAAGCGTTGCTAAATAATTTTACAACTAGACTCTGCCGTGCTAGTGCAAAGGAATTTTGGTTCGGTTAATACTATGTTATCATTAGGAACATTTAATAATTTAAATGAAAATTTTAAAGTTGTTTAACAAAATTAAAAATAATATTTTTTTTAAATAACTAAATAAAGTTTTAAAGGTTAAAAATATAATTTTTAATTAAAAAAATATAAAAAATTTCAATAAAAAGATCGCAGCACAAAGCTTTTCAAAAAACTTGAGCATTAAAAGACAAGATATCCTGTTCAAAAGATGAGATATATATTTATCAATATAAAATGCATTTTCAAATGGAACTCGTATTTCTTAACTAAGGCCCTAATTAAACTGTCTCTTAGTCTAGGTACAAAGTCCACTATTCGGTTGCAGGAGCAGCCAGCTCCTCCTGCTGGTCCTTGTCCTTGTTTGACAATCCGCGTATGCTGACATCATAGACGACCTCTTCGATCTTCTTGACATCGTACTTTAAGGCATCAAAACGCTTCCTCAAACCATCGTTCTTCAGATTCAGTAAACGAAAGCCAGTGTTTAAATCTCCAATAAAATGCGAGATGTTAAGGGGACGCTCATAATCGCCCATTGTTACAGAATTGGTGGCAAACCGGGATAGTTCTGAAGCCAACTGAAGGATTCCCAGTAAATAGTCCTCCACATCGAGATGAAAACCATCTGCCTGAGAAGTTTTTACTGTAGATAAAGGAAAGAATAATATATTTTCAGGATTAATGAGGGATTAATTAAACTTACATCCCAGCATTTCAGCCACAGTTTCGCGGGTGACCAAAAATCCCGCCTCCAGGTAAATAACCAAAGCAATGAGAAAGATCAAACGCTGAGTGATATAGGTCCAATGGTCGGAGTATCTGCAGAAGGCGTATTATTAGACACCTACAATGGAGAGTAATGGTTTTTTACCATCTGACTCACCTGTAATATTGACCAGCTGGCACCAGGCTGGCCAATTTCTGGTACTTTTCGGCGCAGGCATCGATTTGTTTTCGGGCCAAACCACAGGCACCGCTAACTATTAATCAAGAATAAAGTATAAATCACCAACTAACTAATCAAAGTCTTATTTATATACTAACTCTGACTCAAATCGCTGTGTATAACTTGCAATTTAATTTGCGCTTCCTTGGCCAAATGTTCGATTTCACGCACCACAATGCGGATGTTCTGAAATAGGGAGTTTTAGCAAGGGGTTCTCTTAAGCAATCCCAGTGGACCTACCTCCCTGAGCTCCTGCTCATTGTCAATGTACTTTTGGTAGTTTGAAAAGATGTCCAAATTCACAAAGTTCGACATTATTGCTTACAATTTCTCTTGCTTTGTTGCTTGTTTACGCCGGTCTTCGAGATGGGAGTTAAGCCAAGCAATAGTCCGTCAACTATCATCGATAGTCACGCTTGTTATCGCTTGCTAAAGTCAGTGTTGGCTAACGCCCGTTTGCCATCCGTAGTCTTATTAATTTTGTTTAGTCAATCAGTTCCAATTAGAATCGAAACAGGCTCGTGACAAAATGTCGTATGTGAGTGCTTTGTGGGGCATAAGCGTGTGGAATTAAAGTATTAATTTTTAACTAACCGTAGGGACAAGGCTATAATCCGTATGGTCAGCCCGGAGGCTATGCCGCGCCGCCCGGAGCATTTCCGCCGCAAAATGCCCAAGTTTCTCCCCAGGCACAACAATGGTTCGCCATGGTGGACCGCGATCGATCTGGAAAGATCAACGCCTCCGAGCTGCAGGCTGCACTTGTGAATGGGCGTGGCGATCACTTCTCGGACAACGCATGCAAACTGATGATAAGTAAGGAGTTCCCAAAATTCCCATAGTTTCCCTACCCAGAACCTGTGACGTCAGTTGACTTCCGAGGTGTATACATATACAGTAGACCTTCCATAAACGGAAATTCCCTTACTGATGTTCTTTAAAAGTTGTACTAGTTTTTTTTATAGAGCACACACATGTAGTTCTATAATTAAAAGTATGACAAACGTTTTGCAATTAGTGAGTTGAGTTACGGAAGTTCCATCGTAAAGCAACAGTTTTAAGGCACCTGCATATTTATTTAGCTCACCTGGAGCGCTAGACACTATCTTATTTGTTTACCTTAGGATTTATGTTGTATTTTATCGCCTTTTTTAATTTACTTCACCAGGCATGTTCGACAACGATGCCAGCGGCACAATTGATGTTTATGAGTTCGAGAAGCTCTACAACTATATTAATCAATGGCTGGTAATTTTTTGAACCTTCTTCAAGTTATGTGCATCGACTAATTGAGACCTTACTGTTACAGCAAGTCTTCAAGACCTACGACCAGGACTCATCTGGACACATTGAAGAACAGGAGTTAACCCAGGGTACGTAAGACAGTGCTTTTAAATAAAAAGAGTTTGTATATAAAACTGGAATCTGTCTAGGAAAACACATTTTAAATATTTACTATAAAATCATTTAAGAGTAAAAAAAATGTCAATCAAACAGAAAAGCAAACATTAAAAAAAATATTAAATTAGTTTTTCATTCTGTTTTTAGATCAAACTAATTTCCTTACATAAGATGCAAACGTGCTTAAATTAATGTTCCATTTTTAAAGAAAAAATTAAAACCTACCACAACAAATCGTATGATTCACAATGGATTTTCAGAAAAACGGGCCGTGCCGAAATTAATATTTTATTGTTAGACCATTGTGTGAGTCAGATTTCAAATGTTTATAATTCTTGATATCTCCTATCAGCTGGTATCCAACATTTTTATAACTATGAAAACAAAAAAAATCATTCACCTAAAATAAATTTTCTTAGATAAAGAAATTGGTTTGATTTTAACAAACCCATTAGAGTAAAAAAAAATATAATATTGTTTTAAAACCAACTTTAAAAGTACCTATACGATGAATACAGTAGGATAACCGCACTGAATATAAAGTTAAATAATTCTATGTCCTTTCAGCCTTTACCCAGATGGGCTTTCGATTCACTCCCGAGTTCATCAATTTCCTGGTGAAGAAGAGCGATCCGCAGACCCATAAGGAGGTGTCGGTGGACCAGTTCATCGTGCTCTGCGTGCAGGTGCAGCGCTTTACGGAAGCCTTCAGGCAGCGGGACACCCAGCAGAATGGAACCATCACCATCGGATTCGAGGATTTCCTCACCGTGGCCATTGGCTGCTCGTACTGAAAGAACTTATCCGGGCAACCACTCCAAGAGAATCAATATCGACACTCTTGCACACTCACTACATGCATCAGATTCCGAGCTTCGTGCATTTTCTTTAAACTTCAACGGTGTTTGTTAGCTTTTTAATATGTAATACATTACTCACTCTACAGTCACATTGCAATCTCCTGGTACCAGAATCAAATTTCAAAAGTATTTGTTATCGCAGTCCGACTCAATCATAGTACAAAGTCTCTTGCGCCTAATAATAAACTATAAACATGTATTTTTAAAAGTTATAATATGGTGTTTTATTTAAAATGTAAACATTGTATATATGAAAGGTTCATTATAAAGTCATGTCTTATATGTTAGCAGTCACACTGCCCCACAGTTCGTAATCGTGTCTTCGTTGATCGGTGATCACGTTGATAAGCAGTTAGGAATTACAATCTTATTTAGTATACAATCATAAAATCTTGGGCGATTCAATGTGACGGCACAAAAGCTTAATGGTAAAATACAAACATTAATATCAGATAAAACATTTAGGCATAATAAGTGTTTGGTTTTTGGTTTGGGAATCGTATGATGTTCCAATTTCTTTTTGGTCATAGGTATATAATTTTTAAGATACAAAAACTCAGTCTTAAGGTCCATAAATATATGAAACGAATGTCTTCGGGGGAAGGAATAGTTTTTTTTTCCAAATTGGGTAATGTTGAGCGCAATTATAGCATCAAAAATAATCTCCTTTAATCTTAATCAGTCATAGAGTATCAGTGTAAATGGCATCGATTGAAGCGATCGAGTATAATCGTTTTTTTTTTTTGTCTAGAGAGCTTGTTTAAGCCAAGTTAAGAGATCGTTGGATGGCAGAGGTTTTTGGGCAAGATGCTGGAAACATTTCGGAAATTCGCACGAAGCGAGCTCTATAGAATACTTTTTTTCTGGACAGCAGCGTAATGCGTTTAATCTCTTAATTTATAGAGGCCTTATAAAAAATATTTGAGTGTTGTCATTGTTAATAATTTGCACAAAAATTCGTAACTATAAAATTGATAATTGATTGATTGATTTTTGTTTTATACAATTTTAAAGTTAAAAACTAATGTTTTCATCATGAGAAAAAGGCCTTAATACTACTTTGATTATTTGCTTGATTAGATTGGTTTACATTTGCTTAGATAACATAAATTATTACAAGTAAACATTAAATATTTGGGATGACACATGAATGACAAGAAATAATAATCGCAAATGAACAAATCAAGACACCAGTCGAAAAAAATGTTTAAATTAAATGGAAGCATCACTCGGTCCCCATGGAGTTAAGTTATTTGGTATCAAGCTGCGAGCACTCTGCCTTCACATTGAAATCGATGATCAGTTTGCCCTGCGAGTCGTCCGACAAGGAACCGCTCAATCCATTCTCGCCCTTTATCGAGTACTTGGATCGCCTCTTGCTGGGCAGCTGGGGCAGATCGGTGTGGTGCTTCCTCACGTGGACGCCGAGATTTCCGCGTTGCTTCGATTTGTAGGGGCAATAGGGACACTGATGCGAGGGCTCCTTGCCGCCGCACTCGACATTCTCGTGGCGCCGCAGTGTGGACTTCCAGCGGTACTTCTTGCCGCAGTGACGACACTCGTACACCGGCTCTCCGTCCAAACCGATTCCATTGGGACTGGTGGTGCTCCCGTTGCTGCTGCTGCCACCATACTCGCTGAGGGTAAACTCCAAATTGCGGAAGGCCTGCGAGTGTGCGTCCAAAATCGAGTTGGCGGATCCTCCATGGGTATTAGCATTGAACATGCCCATGCCCGAGTTATTGCCAAACTTGCCACCACTTTGCTCCATCAGGTGAATGTCATCAAAGGCATGGTAGCGCCCCTCATCCTCGTCCTCCGTCGAGTAGCCCGGTTCGTTCTCGCACTCCGAATGGCGGAGGTCACGCTCTTGCTGTTTCCGCAAGAGGTTCTCCAGTATTTTGGTGGGAGTAATCTCGCTTGTGCCGACTGCGGCTTCGTGCTCCTCCTTGATGCGACGATGCGGAGTCTGTTGGCGCAGGATCTCCTGGGCGCGCAACTGCTGCTGGAAGCTATGTAATCCATTTCTCATCAGGGCCTCGGCAATCGCAGCTGCCTGCGGCTTGGGGGCCAAAGCAGCCGCACTATTGGCCACCAGGACCGAAGTGGGTATGGCCGTGACACCGCCCAAATGCGGTTCCGCTGTCTTCAGAGTGAATTTGGGCCTGGGATGAAATGAGACGGCGGCGCCAGCGGCAGCACCCACCACATTAGCTGTTGTGGTGTTCTGTACCCGCATCATTTCATCAGCATTCAAGTTTTTTGAGGCCGTCTCGGAGGCTGATCCATAAGCGGCCATGGCCGGAATGGCCGATGGATCCAGGATCTCACCGGAGGTGGGCGAAACCTGACGATGTGGCTGCTCCTGCTTGGGCACCTTGGCCGACTTGGTCTTGTAGAACTCGAAGAGCATGTCGGACACCTCGGTGACCGAGAGTCGCTTGCGTCGCGATCCTGGCAACTGGAGCTTCTGCTCATCCCGGTGCTTTCCATTGAGAATGCTCCTCTGGAAACTGCGCTGAATCTCAGCGGTGCTGGCCAAATCCGGTGCTGTGTTCTCCTTCCTGCTCAAATCTGCAATCGGAAACATAGTTTGATTAGTTTTTTCTTTCTTTCTTTACTTTTCGAATAACTCCGTTAAAAGTTCCTTCGTTTTGAGCTTTGTCGAACGTTTTTTTGATGGGGCTGTGACAAATGAAAAAGCAAGTTAAAACTCTCGGGTTGCTGGGATTAGGCAAAAAAATGGTGTTAGATGAAAATCATGCAATTAATAATCAAGATAAGCAAATAACTACAACGAATTAAAATAAATTAATTTAAATTAAATAACACAAAACACAGAAACTTTGTTTTTATTTTTGTCTTCTTTTTTAATTCAATAAACAAAAGTACACTTATAACTTTTATTAATTTGGTAAAACACATTTTTGGCGTAAACAAATAAAACTAAAAAGCTGCAGCAAATGAAAACACTGTTTTTATTTTTTGTTGGTGATGGATGATGATGTTGTGGCTGATGTGTTGGTGGTTTTATGTGGTGAGTGAGTTTTTGAACCGAAACCATTTTAAATGTAACTCGTTACCTGAGACACCTAGAAAAACAGAGAAGAATAGGTTAGCGATATGATGAAATAAATTTGTTTTCGCTCGTATAACACTACACTGAAGTAATCCAATGTTTGGGTGTACCTAAAAATAAATTAATATGATTTAATTAGTTGTATGTATGTTTTTTAAACAATTTTTTAAATGCTTTTAGACTGGGTTTGGTATTTGTGTTTTATTCTTAAATTTGTTTTCGCACCTAGTGTTTATTAAATAAGGTTAAAAATGTTTAGAATCACTTTTAATCATCAATAAGTTTAATATGCAAAATATAAATAAAATTATTTTCTTGAACACAAATACACAGCACAGTTTAAAAAGCACATTTAAGTGCAGGTTGCGGCTTTGCTTTGGTGGTTGTCCTGGGCGGAGCTTTATAATTATTTAATTTTAAGTTTACAAATATGTATTTAAATATTCCACTTTTAAACTTGATAAGCTTTTCCGCCTCAAAATTTGCATTCCGCCCACGAACAACACACCGAAAAGCGTCCACACGGCAACACAATCGAAACTGCACTGTCTGTCTGGTTTCTAGCTTACGGATTTTCAATCCAAGTCCTCAATCCAAAAACGCAGCTGCGTCTCGAAAATTCTCCTTTGAATGCGACTGTGTGTGTGGGTATCTGTGTGAGCGTGTGTATCTGTTGCACAGCAAGTGTAGTTTGCCTGCTTTTTTCGGTTTGGTTTCGCTTCGGATCCTTGATTTATTTTCGGGATTTTCTACCTAACTCAACAGTTGTTGTTGTGGGCTGTTTGTTGTCCCTTCCTCTCTTTCTATTTATGGAAAACTGCAATACGGAAAACTTTCTCTGAGCGGAAAATCGCTCTCTGTTTGTGCTAGCGAGGGAGAAAGAGCGGTTTTCAAAGCATTTCGAGCAGGCGCAGTGAAAACTAATGCAAACCCAGCTTCCGGTGGTGTTTTTATGTTTGTTTTCCAATTCCATATGCATCTGTTCCGAATACATGTTGGATTTTCAAGGTCAACAGCGGGAAAGTTAATTTAATTTGATGTGGAAAATTACTCACCCCAACTTCAAAAACTAATTGTAGATCCGCAGATCCGTAGATAGAGAGTAAAAATGATAAAAAGTATTCGCGACTTTAAGCTTTTCTATTTATTATTGTAAATGATGAGGATATTGCATCCTTTAAAAATTGTAAAAATAAAGCTAATATTTTTTAAAATGTATTTCAAAACAAATACAAACTAACTTGCATAGCTCAAACCGCTATTTTTCTCTACGAAAACATAAGCTTTAATTAAAGAGATTTCTAGTTTTAGGTGAGGGTTTTTTTTTTTAAATAGGATTGCTTTAAAATTAAAGCTTGAAAACAAAAACTAATATAGGAAGTGCTGTTTATGTGGTTTAAAGAACTACGGCTTAATGTTGTATCAATTTAGTTTTTCAATGATTTCTATTTTAAACTATTATCTTCATTTTCAATGAGAAAAAGTTAAGGGCTGCTAAGGGTCGTAAAAATGTATAAATGTCTGCTGGGTTTTTCCAGAATTTCAGCTTGGAGACGCTTCCCTTCAGAAAATATCTTTAACGACACGCTCACACGATTATCTTGTCCATCAAGGTTCACCGACGATTTTCCAGGAATCTATCCCACACAAATAGCTTGAAAACCAGCCCTTGAAACTTGTATATCCTATGTGTTTGAGTTGATATTTTTTTTAAACCAGGCTTTGCGAAGGCAAAGCCCAAAGGAGAGACCGATAGGGCTGGCAGGCAAAATTGGAAAAACTCAGGGAAAATCACGTGGGAAGCCCGACTGCAAAAGCCGCACCGGCAAAGATACAGATATACATACATATAAATATACAGATACAAAAGCAGGCAGGCAGGCAAACGGGGTTCCAGACAGTGGAAAAAGGAAAACTTATTTTTAGAAAAACACACAAACACACGGAAAACAGATCCTGATTTATGTGTGCGCAAATGTTTTTCAAATGCATTTCGGGTTTTTGTGTGGGCGAGAGCGTAAAATGCATGGATGGTTAGAGCGTGTATCTGAGAGATACATCTCCCTTTCGAGGACAAAAGGCCCGGGAGTACAGTTAGCTTGTGGTTGGCCAAATCTCGAGGGAATTGGTTTTCCTTTTCGCACTGAAATGCAGATTCAAGGGCACCATTTACCCAACTATTGTTTCAAAAAAACCTGTTTGGTTAAAGGATTATTATTATTTGTTTTCCGCACTCTGCGATCCCTATCTACTTGTCTGAATATCTAAATCCTAGTGCACTTTTCTCTAGGAAAATTCATTGCTTTAATGGTTTTGGAAAGAAATATGAGTACTTGCCTGCTTTTGCGTGCCTTTGTCCAAAACACATTTCCCAATTAACAGATTAACTGAAAAATATAATGGAAAAGAAACAAAAAATAAAATTAGAAAAATAATTAGAAAATTAATTTATATAATACCAACCTTTTTTGGTAATAAATGCCAACAAACAAAAATCCACAAATGTCTTTAAACAAAATATATAACAAACATATAAACATCAAAAGTAAGTTCCAAGACAATAAAAACAAGGGGTACTTTTACCATCTTATTTTAACTATTTAGATTACTTTTTATTAGCAATAAGTATAAAAACTCTTAAATTGGACCTTGTTTCCTATGTGGACAATAAATCTGGTTAACCGTCTTTACCTCACTAATTTAATGCAAAATATTTTAAATGTAAGTTAAAGGCAATTCAACTTTTGCCAGCTATAATGTTAAAAGATTAAACTCTAATCTTAACCATTAGGCGAGTTTTAAATGTTGACCTATACAAAATATATTGAAGTTAATTGGTAATATTTCTAATCTACGCTTTTTGGTCAATAAAATTTGGTAAAATTTCTCTTATCTAAAAAATGTAATAAGTAGTCCGAATAAATTTTGTTTTAAACATTTTTGTCCAAACATATTTTGAATAATTCTGATCAAAATTGAATGTGGATGTAAATATAAATATTCTTGAATTTCGTATAAAGTAAAATGGCAATTACGAAAATATTAAATATTTAGTGTTTCTGCAGATAAAAATTGGATTGTTATAACAATATGTTTTAAGTTACAAAGAAAATTTGCAAGCAAGAGTTAGCGTTTTAAACTGCCTTGCTTGATATTTAGTCCAAATGGAGTTGGAGCTATAAAAGGTTCTTAGTTTTGGAAGTCGTATCTTAGATGAGCACTGAGTGCTCCTTGCGCATGTGCTCGTTGAGGAAAGCCTGGGATCGGCAAACCCGTGAACACAAAGGACATCGATTGGACTCGTACTTCGGCGATCTTTTGGTTGCTTGGCGAGGACACTTCCGTCCAGGAATCAAAGCAGTGTTCTCAATGTTAGTCATATTCTGGACGAGATGCTGCAGGGATCTAGCTGTTGAAATGGAGGCAAGCTGCTGAAGGGCTATCATGGCATCCGAATTGGCCATTGCTTTTTTGAGGCTGGTGGCATCGTTGATTTCGGGCGGCTCGTCATTTTCGCTCGTCTGCTCCAAACTGACCGTAACCGCCGACATTTGATCTTTGATGGTGACCAGTTTTTGCCTCGAAGTGCTGGGAACATTCGGCGGACTTGGTGAGTTTTCCTGGATGCGCAGATTGTATTTCTTCTCGACGGGTTCCTCTGAAATGAGAGAACAAGTCCCAGGAAATCAAAATAAAAATACAAATAATAATACAAAAAAAAAACTGAATAAATTGTCGTAAAGCAGAATGAAATGGAACATAAAGTTAATTGTTGCGCGGTGCACATTCAATCAAACCAGCTGCATTCATACATATTTACAAAAACATTTATATATAATATATAACAAACTTAGGGTTTTGAAAAGTGTAAACTAATATAAAAGAGACTTGGATTTCGACAGGACAAGACTTTCGCTTGCTTTCCTCTATTTATTTACAAAATCAGTATTTCTTTTTGGTTTTTTGGCATCAACGAGAACTGGTTTACTAATGGGTATAATTATTTATTCATAACAAAACTTAAATGAACTCCTCCTCTCCGGTTTCCACTTTAATCTCAGACGTATACAGATAATCATCGCCTTCTTCGTGGCCTGTGGATTCTAGGGGGATGGTCTCCACATCATCTGCCATCGGTTTGCTGGCTTTGGCTCTTGGCTTTGACTTGGTTAGGGGCTCCAGGAAGAGCTCGGCATCGTGGAGTTTCTTGTGGCGATTGAGGTGGGATCGTCGCTTGAACCACTTGAGGCAGAAGTCGCACTGGAATCGCTTGAAATCCTGGCACTCCTCGCGCTGGTGCAGCGTCAGTCTGCTGAGAGTATTGTAGTATCGACCACATTGGCACAATAGCTGATTCTTCGGACCATGACGCACAAAATCTGCAGATAGACAGAAGAAACAGAAAGCGGTATGCGGTTGTTTAGGCCTCTCCATACAGATAAGCTGGGTCACACAGGTTACAGGGTTATAGTTTTCGATTCAGGCAAGATTTGTGATCGTGGTGATGAATACAACAAATTCGTTTCAGTTTGACATTTTTATTGGCTGATAAATGATTGGACTACTTATAGCTATACGAGTCAATTTAAATGTATAGACCTTTTTTGGTTGGGCCAGTCATCCAGTTCGCTGTGCGATTGCCTCCAGCTCCAGTCATCTCAATCCATTGGATTATCCTAGAGAAAAGAGAATCATATTAGTTAAGGGCTTTAATCGGAGCATCGCAGGTAATTCGATTCAATAATTTCCTTCGATTCGATTGTAAACATTCATTTATTGGTATTTTGGTTTGGTACTTTCATATACATGGTAAATACGCAGTGATTGGGTTATGTTTTTAAAACGTTATCTAGGGTATAATGTTCGAGTTTAAAATACTTAACCGTACACTTTGACTTTGAGCTGATTCGAAATTTGATTCTAAAGATTGAGCAATTCAACATGAACTTGACTTGACGGCATGTTTCGATACTCAGTCCAACTAGCTTACTGTATTTAAGATTACACTTTGAGATCATAACTTTGGCTATATTACAAACAGTTAACTGTAGGCGATTGAAGAAATCTTTGAAGAGTTTGAACAAGTTTTCCGTTTAAATGTTATCTGTTCTATTTCACTATGTACAATTCAGACACTTGGATTAAAACGTTTAGTTAACATAATCCATACTTTTGTTGAACAAAAAATTCAAAATACGCTTTTTAAATCTTCAAAAATCTCTGTCAACGTCTCCCAAGTAAATACATAAAGTAAAGGTTAGAATTCATCACACATTATGGTAACTCACAACAACAAGTGCTAAACAGAGACTACAAATGCTAATTAATCTTAGTAATATTCGAACTAGTGTCCGAGGATTGCCTCCCCGGAATCGGCATGTTTTTGGTTCATATGCTTCCGTAAATCGGATTTGTATTTGCACTTGTGCGGACAATGGGGACACTTGAGATTCGGCTCCACGCCGCACTCGTAGTTCTTGTGCCGCTTGAGGGATCCCTTGATCTTGTAGGTCTTGCCGCACACATTGCACGCATATTTGCAGTCATCCAGCGGATAGTCGCCGGATACCTGCTGCAAGGTCATCGTGGTGGCCGTGTGAATGGTACTGGTCATGCCATTCATGTACAGCTTCTCCGCCTGCTGATGCACTGGCTCCCCATCGCTGTGAATTTTCTCCACCACATAGCCCTCGTCGTCGATCAGGTGATCCTCTTCGTGGTGATCCACCTTCATGGCCTCCAGCTCGAGTTCCCTTTCGGCCTCATCGGCATCGGCCAGCAACAAACCGGACTCGTGCGTGGTGGTGGCACTCTGCGGCGCCATGGCAATGCTGCTGGCTCCATACTGCATCACGTCCCGCAGCAGCATCTTGTCCTCCAGCCTGGAGGTGTCTATTTTGATGTACTCCTGCCGCGCATGCGCCTGCGGCTGCTGGATGGTCAACTGCTGGCGATGTTGCTGCTGGTGTTGCTGCTGCTGATGCGTCTGATGTTGCTGCTGATGCGATTGATGTTGCTGCTTCACAATCTGAATGGTGGTAGCCTGTGGCTTGTGCAGCAGGCTAGTCGTACTCGTATTCGTCGTGGCATTTTTGGTTAGAGCCGGAATGGTGTACTGGATATTGCCCACCGGATTGCCCAGATCATCGGGCGGCAGCTCCACCACCACAGTGGCTCCCGTCAGCAGACCCGAACCACCATTGCTCAAAGTGGTGGCCGTGGTGAGCGTTTGATTGGGAGCAGCATTGGCAATCGAGTAGGGCACCGTTTCCAGAATTGTCCAGTAGCCATCTGCAAGAAGCCAGGAGAAAATAGAGACACTCGTTAGTCATCCGGCGGATGATTAACCCAAGAATCGGTTCTATATAATTACTTTTAAGCATTAACAAGTGTGTAAGCTGCAAGGCCGTCCAATTGGTTTTTTGGATTTGTTTTTTTTTTTTTGGTTTCGATGGAGAGTGTTGGGCTTTGGTTCAGGGATTATAAACTGGACTGGTTTGGGTTTTGCTTTCACGCATATATGATTCGTATGCTTTATTCTTAATTGCTTGCATTTACAATATGTTTTTAAAAAATGTACAAATTCTCGCTTTACTATTTGCTTTGTTTCATAGAACACCAAGAACTATAATTACAGGCGTTTGTTTTTTGTTTTTGTGGTTTTTTTTTTTATATGTATAGTAGGTATATCGAATTGTTAAATGTATAACTGAGGAATATATATGTGTGTGTTTGAAAAAACGTGGCAAACTAATGGCGCTTTAAGTCTTTGATTGCTTTGCATGCGAAAGCCCTAATTGCTGGCAAGAATATTTGAGTTTTGAGAACACCAACCACAGTAGAACTAAACATTTAGTTATTCCATATAGTATCTGTATCTGTATCATGTACGTATCGTATCGTATGTGTATATAAATAAAATGGTCTCCGACCGTTTTGTGGCTAACTTAGGCATAACTCAAACATAAAGACAGTTAAAAATGAAACGAAGAGTTTAAAATAAAAAACGGAATGCGCTCAGAGAAATCGGTATAAAAAAGTTAAAAGTTCATTAAGTAATTTGTGCAGGAATGTGGACCAGCATTACCACAACAATTGGGTTCGGTAGGTTGGTTGGTTGGTTGGTTGGTTATAGTTATGGTTTTAGGAGGTTTGGAGGTAGCTACTACTTGGACAAGCAACTATTGTCATTATTCATTTGGTAAACATTTCACATTACGCCTCTCGAGCGGCTGCTCTCTGGGGAACTGAACTCCGTTTCATCACTCCGCTCTTAGCCATCGTCGTCGTAGTCCTCGTCCTCCTCCTCGCTCTCCTGCAACGCTGGCACCGCCGTAATGGTCAGATCCCGGCCGGCAAAATCGAAGTTGATCTCACATAAAGCGGCAGCCACATCGCTATCGATGCCACCGCCCTCGGCATCGCCGTCCTCGGGATCGCCATCGTCTCCGTCGCCCGCCTCCTCGTCGTTGCTCAGATCATCCTCGTTGCGTATCACATACAGGCTCTCCTCGTCATCCCGCGACTGCTCGTAGAGCAGACAATGCTTGCGCTTCGCATGCCGCAGGACGTGATCCTTGCGACGGGAGCGGTACTCGCAGGACACGCACTTGTACTTCTTCTGCTTGAGACAGTACTTGCGCACGTGCTCCTGCAACTTCTGATGGGACTTGTAGTATCGGTTGCAGTGTTTGCACTGCATAAAGGAGTCCCGCGAGAGTCCTCCGCCTCCGCCAGAGGTATTCACACCACTGGATTTTGCATGGCTGATGGTGGTGGTGCCGGCGCCGGTGGTGTTGGTGGTGTTATTGTTGTTGAGATGGTAGCCATAGAACTCGTCGCTGGCATTGGCACTGGAGCCCGGATTGGCACTCGTCGAGGTGTCCACGCCGAGGAGACTGCCGAGGATCGGATAGATGTCTGCTGGTCAACACACACAGGTACACACACAGCATGGAGGTGTCGGAACAAAATAAAAGGAGAACAAACCAAAAGGCAAATTAATAGTGGGCCAATAACTGAGCACACATCAAACTTAAGCTAGTTAAATTAATCAAAAATAATAATATCGAGAACTTAGTGTTTGTTTGGTTTCGGTTTTTTTTTTTTCGGCTTCTACCCAATAGACGCTGAATGGTGGATGTTGTTGAATGGTGAGTCTGGTTGTTGTGGTTGTTGTTGAGTTTCGTATTTGGTTCTTTGTTGATGAAGTTTTTAGCAGCTTTTTGGGAGGCAGTGGTTGATGATGGTTTTTATGATGGAGATGCGATGATGGATGGATGACACAATCCCCAGGAGAGTTACACGAATGCACCACATATACAAAAGCCACTCAAGCATTTCTCTAAACAAAAGCTTTAGAACATATATACAAAAACAATAATCATGTAAACAGAAAAGAGATCACAAATCAAATGTTGGTGTTGGTGGTGTGTCGTTGTTGGTGTGATTTTCAAAACTACAACAATACAGCAAATTAAATTACATATGTTTATCATATATTTGGTTTGTCAGTATAACTAAGCTCAGTTCACTTTCAGTATAATAACATTCATTAGCACTTGGGGGCCACTCATCATTTCCTCGGTTCTCCGCCAGAGCTTTCCGCACTTCAGTTTCTCCGGAAAACCTAGAAAAAGAGAAAAGGTACTGTTAGTTCGAGGATTTCAAATTTATCCATCTTGAGCGAATATCTGCGGTTACTTGTTGGCTGAAAAAAAGAAAGATTTTCAAACTGCATTTAAAGGTGGTGTTTGTTTTTTTCTATTTTTTCAATATATATTTAAATTTAGTTTTTATTTGTTGTTTTTGTTTTTGCCTGTTTACTTATAACAATTAAATCGTTTTACTCGTTTAACATTTAAAATAGTTTTACAAATTTTGTTTAAGGCGTTTTCTCGGTTTTATACACAATTACATAATTAAATTTACTCTGAATTCGTTCTAACATTTCTTCGTTCCATTGAAATTGGTTTAAGCACACTTTTCATAGTCTAACTGGCATTTTGAATGTCGTTTGTTTAGTTAGATTTCATTTTCATAAATATATTGATTTCTATTTTCAATTTGTTAATCTAAATTGCAGTGCAAAAAGCAATGTGATTCTTTTTCGTATCGTATAAATTTTTTGTAAATTTATTTGTTGGCGCAACCTTAGCTATGTTTTAAATGTTCAAACTCGAATCGGTTTGTATTTCGTTTCCTAGACACATTTTCATTAATTGGTTTTTTTTCAGCGTTTTGCATTCATTGTCAACATTTACTATTCGTGAAGCGTGCGTTAACAGTAATCAACATTCATTTCTCACTTCATTTTTTTTGTTTTGTTAACTTAAGGCTACGGTTTACTTGATTTATTGTGTATGCGTGTGTGCTATGTATTAAATTCCCCGTTTTGTATTATTAGTTGTAGTTTTCGAAATAATATTAGAACAAAAAAACAAACAGAAATAGTAGCTTAGTAAAGAGAACAAAAATATCAGATTTTCTTAGAACATATCTTTTATCTATCATGTATGTGTGTTGCTTGTGTATTGTGTTTGTGTGTGTGTGTATGTGTTTGAAAAGAAAGCCTTTCTCATGTCCATAACCCAATCTATTGCCCACCCACTCTGCTCCTCATTTACTCTCAACTCATCAGATCCGATCTGATCTTTGCTTCGTTTCATTTCATTTCAATCACAATTAATCACATCGATTCCTTTATATGTTTGTATGTTTGTTTGTATCTATATATAGATATATTTTGCTTTACATATAACTTTACATTCACAGCTCCTTGTTTACAACTTTTTTTTTTTAAACGTGTATTTTGTGTTTTGGGGTGTGTTTTGGGTGTTTATAAATCTTTGATATTGTTTATTTAACAGAATTAATAAAGATACATATTAGTAGAAATAGAGTTATCTGGGTTAGTACAATTTCTCGAAAAATATTTCACTTTTTATGGTTATCGCTCACATACTAACTTTAGTCCCGTCGACTATCTAAATCCGTTCTCGAACTCGAACAAATATGCGAACTGTCTGCGTTTCTTTCGGGGTGTGTTTATTTGGGGGATTTTGTGTTAGTAAATTGTTTGTTAATCAAATTATATTGAAATTTATCACATGCTTTTCTTTACATTTTAACTATACGACTCGAAAGTTTTGCCATTTCGGACCAAATTCTCTTCTATGGTCTCGCGTTTGTCTTGGATTTTCTTAAAATCTTTTTATATTTGGTTCATTTCGAGTCCATCACATGCGCTGTTGATAAATTATAAAATAGGCATAGTAGATGAAATCCATCCTCTTCTCCTTCCTTTTTGTTGTAACAAAAAAAATTAAATGTAACTAAAATTATTATGCATTATAGATAAATAAGAACCACAACCTTAGAAAAAGTTAAATAAATCGCGTTACGATTATTGATTATATAAAACGGATACAAATAGTGAATTTCGTGTAGTGCACATTGTTATTCATAAATCTAACAAAATGATAAGCAAAACTCTCTAGAAACTGACTAGCGCAAGAAAGCGATTATAAAATATACATAATTATAAATGTATGAATCAAAGCAGATAACCAAATTTGTTTGTTTTAAATTTATAACGAATTAAATTTAGAATTTCCTCACCTAATTCGAATACTGACCGATAAGAATTTTGTTTTTTTTTTTTCTAACAATTTAAACAATTTTGTTAAATATTCGTACATATTTTGTGTTGATTTGTGCCAATTTGTTGTCTGTTGTTTAATTTACTTCTTTATCACATTTTTTGTGTGGCACAAACTTCAAAACTGACAACAAATTATGGTATGCGCCCCTCTATATGTATTTTTTAGTTTTATATTCTTTTTTTTTAGATATCAATATTTTGTTTATGAAGTACCTAAGCAAGTTTGTTAAACATTTAAGCTCTTCGTTTGTATATCAACAATTATCAAAACGTTAATTCGTGTTTTTTTTTGTGTCTGCATGTGTGAAACAAACGCTCGTCATTAGATCTATATATTATTATCGTTTTATAAACAGGACCGCTCTGCAATATTTCTGGTTTCTCATCCAATTTTGACAAAAGTAAATTATTATTTTTAACAAGGAAAAATATACAATTATGATTACAATTAATTACAATGAGGACTATATTCATTATATCACATACCAATTTATATTTCTGACTGTGACTCGATGCGAGTTCCCCCAACCCGTTTACATTGCCAATTTCTACTGCCTTCTTTCACACTCGTATATGCTGCTTGTTTATGTTTATATTAATGTTATTTAAAAATAATTAATAACTGTTTTAGTTTGCCTTTAAGAACGGTTTGGTTTGTGTAGAGGCGCCTAAACCCAAAGCCACGTTAATTTTGATTTGTTTTTCTTATTTTTTTGGTCAAATTAAAATT